ATTGCTCCACTTGCACTCACGTTTGTGCCCCTACCAACCCCCCTAGCCCACAGCCACTCACATTGCTCCACTTGCACTCACGTTTGTGCCCCTACCAACCCCCCTAGCCCACAGCCACTCACATTGCTCCACTCGCACTCACGTTTGTGCCCCTACCAAACCCCCTAGCCCACAGCCACTCACATTGCTCCACTTGCACTCACGTTTGTGCCCCTACCAATCCCCCTAGCCCACAGCCACTCACATTGCTCCACTCGCACTCACGTTTGTGCCCCTACCAACCCCCCTAGCCCACAGCCACTCACATTGCTCCACTTGCACTCACGTTTGTGCCCCTACCAACCCCCCTAGCCCACAGCCACTCACATTGCTCCACTTGCACTCACGTTTGTGCCCCTACCAACCCCCCTAGCCCACAGCCACTCACATTGCTCCACTTGCACTCACGTTTGTGCCCCTACCAACCCCCCTAGCCCACAGCCACTCACATTGCTCCACTTGCACTCACGTTTGTGCCCCTACCAACCCCCCTAGCCCACAGCCACTCACATTGCTCCACTTGCACTCACGTTTGTGCCCCTACCAACCCCCCTAGCCCACAGGCACTCACATTGCTCCACTTGCACTCACGTTTGTGCCCCTACCAACCCCCCTAGCCCACAGCCACTCACATTGCTCCACTCGCACTCACGTTTGTGCCCCTACCAACCCCCCTAGGCCACAGCCACTCACATTGCTCCACTCGCACTCACGTTTGTGCCCCTACCAACCCCCCTAGCCCACAGCCACTCACATTGCTCCACTTGCACTCACGTTTGTGCCCCTACCAACCCCCCTAGCCCACAGCCACTCACATTGCTCCACTCGCACTCACGTTTGTGCCCCTACCAACCCCCCTAGCCCACAGCCACTCACATTGCTCCACTCGCACTCACGTTTGTGCCCCTACCAACCCCCCTAGCCCACAGCCACTCACATTGCTCCACTCGCACTCACGTTTGTGCCCCTACCAACCCCCCTAGCCCACAGCCACTCACATTGCTCCACTCGCACTCACGTTTGTGCCCCTACCAACCCCCCTAGCCCACAGCCACTCACATTGCTCCACTTGCACTCACGTTTGTGCCCCTACCAACCCCCCTAGCCCACAGCCACTCACATTGCTCCACTTGCACTCACGTTTGTGCCCCTACCAACCCCCCTAGCCCACAGCCACTCACATTGCTCCACTTGCACTCACGTTTGTGCCCCTACCAACCCCCCTAGCCCACAGCCACTCACATTGCTCCACTCGCACTCACGTTTGTGCCCCTACCAACCCCCCTAGCCCACAGCCACTCACATTGCTCCACTTGCACTCACGTTTGTGCCCCTACCAACCCCCCTAGCCCACAGCCACTCACATTGCTCCACTTGCACTCACGTTTGTGCCCCTACCAACCCCCCTAGCCCACAGCCACTCACATTGCTCCACTTGCACTCACGTTTGTGCCCCTACCAACCCCCCTAGCCCACAGCCACTCACATTGCTCCACTCGCACTCACGTTTGTGCCCCTACCAACCCCCCTAGCCCACAGCCACTCACATTGCTCCACTCGCACTCACGTTTGTGCCCCTACCAAACCCCCTAGCCCACAGCCACTCACATTGCTCCACTTGCACTCACGTTTGTGCCCCTACCAATCCCCCTAGCCCACAGCCACTCACATTGCTCCACTCGCACTCACGTTTGTGCCCCTACCAACCCCCCTAGCCCACAGCCACTCACATTGCTCCACTTGCACTCACGTTTGTGCCCCTACCAACCCCCCTAGCCCACAGCCACTCACATTGCTCCACTTGCACTCACGTTTGTGCCCCTACCAACCCCCCTAGCCCACAGCCACTCACATTGCTCCACTTGCACTCACGTTTGTGCCCCTACCAACCCCCCTAGCCCACAGCCACTCACATTGCTCCACTTGCACTCACGTTTGTGCCCCTACCAACCCCCCTAGCCCACAGCCACTCACATTGCTCCACTTGCACTCACGTTTGTGCCCCTACCAACCCCCCTAGCCCACAGGCACTCACATTGCTCCACTTGCACTCACGTTTGTGCCCCTACCAACCCCCCTAGCCCACAGCCACTCACATTGCTCCACTCGCACTCACGTTTGTGCCCCTACCAACCCCCCTAGGCCACAGCCACTCACATTGCTCCACTCGCACTCACGTTTGTGCCCCTACCAACCCCCCTAGCCCACAGCCACTCACATTGCTCCACTTGCACTCACGTTTGTGCCCCTACCAACCCCCCTAGCCCACAGCCACTCACATTGCTCCAATTGCACTCACGTTTGTGCCCCTACCAACCCCCCTAGCCCACAGCCACTCACATTGCTCCACTTGCACTCACGTTTGTGCCCCTACCAACCCCCCTAGCCCACAGCCACTCACATTGCTCCACTTGCACTCACGTTTGTGCCCCTACCAACCCCCCTAGCCCACAGCCACTCACATTGCTCCACTTGCACTCACGTTTGTGCCCCTACCAACCCCCCTAGCCCACAGCCACTCACATTGCTCCACTTGCACTCACGTTTGTGCCCCTACCAACCCCCCTAGCCCACAGCCACTCACATTGCTCCACTTGCACTCACGTTTGTGCCCCTACCAACCCCCCTAGCCCACAGCCACTCACATTGCTCCACTTGCACTCACGTTTGTGCCCCTACCAACCCCCCTAGCCCACAGCCACTCACATTGCTCCACTCGCACTCACGTTTGTGCCCCTACCAACCCCCCTAGCCCACAGCCACTCACATTGCTCCACTCGCACTCACGTTTGTGCCCCTACCAACCCCCCTAGCCCACAGCCACTCACATTGCTCCACTCGCACTTACGTTTGTGCCCCTACCAACCCCCCTAGCCCACAGCCACTCACATTGCTCCACTTGCACTCACGTTTGTGCCCCTACCAACCCCCCTAGCCCACAGCCACTCACATTGCTCCACTCGCACTCACGTTTGTGCCCCTACCAACCCCCCTAGCCCACAGCCACTCACATTGCTCCACTTGCACTCACGTTTGTGCCCCTACCAACCCCCCTAGCCCACAGCCACTCACATTGCTCCACTCGCACTCACGTTTGTGCCCCTACCAACCCCCCTAGCCCACAGCCACTCACATTGCTCCACTTGCACTCACGTTTGTGCCCCTACCAACCCCCCTAGCCCACAGCCACTCACATTGCTCCACTCGCACTCACGTTTGTGCCCCTACCAACCCCCCTAGCCCACAGCCACTCACATTGCTCCACTTGCACTCACGTTTGTGCCCCTACCAACCCCCCTAGCCCACAGCCACTCACATTGCTCCACTTGCACTCACGTTTGTGCCCCTACCAACCCCCCTAGCCCACAGCCACTCACATTGCTCCACTTGCACTCACGTTTGTGCCCCTACCAACCCCCCTAGCCCACAGCCACTCACATTGCTCCACTTGCACTCACGTTTGTGCCCCTACCAACCCCCCTAGCCCACAGCCACTCACATTGCTCCACTTGCACTCACGTTTGTGCCCCTACCAACCCCCCTAGCCCACAGCCACTCACATTGCTCCACTTGCACTCACGTTTGTGCCCCTACCAACCCCCCTAGCCCACAGCCACTCACATTGCTCCACTTGCACTCACGTTTGTGCCCCTACCAACCCCCCTAGCCCACAGCCACTCACATTGCTCCACTTGCACTCACGTTTGTGCCCCTACCAACCCCCCTAGCCCACAGCCACTCACATTGCTCCACTTGCACTCACGTTTGTGCCCCTACCAACCCCCCTAGCCCACAGCCACTCACATTGCTCCACTCGCACTCACGTTTGTGCCCCTACCAACCCCCCTAGCCCACAGCCACTCACATTGCTCCACTTGCACTCACGTTTGTGCCCCTACCAACCCCCCTAGCCCACAGCCACTCACATTGCTCCACTCGCACTCACGTTTGTGCCCCTACCAACCCCCCTAGCCCACAGCCACTCACATTGCTCCACTTGCACTCACGTTTGTGCCCCTACCAACCCCCCTAGCCCACAGCCACTCACATTGCTCCACTTGCACTCACGTTTGTGCCCCTACCAACCCCCCTAGCCCACAGCCACTCACATTGCTCCACTTGCACTCACGTTTGTGCCCCTACCAACCCCCCTAGCCCACAGGCACTCACATTGCTCCACTTGCACTCACGTTTGTGCCCCTACCAACCCCCCTAGCCCACAGGCACTCACATTAGTGCCTCGGAGCAGAGGGATCTTGAGGTCGAGAGTGAGAAGGCGCGCCTCCACTCTGGTTGCGACTGGGATGGGGTAGTCGGGGTGGCACAACAAGTGCGCTGGAACCTTACCCAACCCACTCCACAGCAACTCACGTTGGTGCCTCGGAGCAGAGGGATTTTGAGGTCGAGAGTGAGAAGGCGTGCCTCCACTCACTCTGGTTATGATGAGATGAGTGACGGGCATGATGTGAACTGCGCCCACAGCCAATCACATTGGTGCCTCTCAGCAGAGGGATCTTGATGTCGAGAGTGAGAAGGCGGGCCTCCACTCTGGTGGCGACGGGGATGGAAAACGCTAGTCTTGCTTCAGCCTATCAAGCAGGCACAGCAACAAGTGCCCTGGGCCCTCCCTCACTCACATTGGTGCCTCTCAGAAGGGGAATCTTGAGGTCGAGAGTGAGAAGGCGCGCCTCCACCCTGGTTGCGACGGGGATGGGGTAGTCCGTCCGGGTGGCACAACACGCCACCTGGCAGCAAGTGCCGTGCCCGGACCCCTCACTCACTGCCAAGGGGAAGAGTATTGTACGCACCTAACCCACAGGCACTCACGTTGGTGCCTCTCAGCAGAGGGATCTTGAGGTCGAGAGTGAGAAGGCGCGCCTCCACCCTGGTAGCCACCGGGATGGGGACTGCTGCAAGCCATGTCCCTCACTCACAACAAGCCCCTTCCCATTGCCACTCACGTTGGTGCCCCTAAGCAAAGGGATCTTGAGGTCGAGAGTGAGAAGGCGCGCCTCCACCCTAGTAGCTACAGGGATGGGGTAGTCCGGGTGGCACAACACGCCACCTGGCAGCAGCTGATTGGCCTCCACGCCCTGAAGCCCCACGTCCACGCTCTCCCCCGCCCATGCTGCTGCCACCGGTGACTCGTCCCTCTCTAGGGCTTTAACAGATGCCTGGAAGGAGCCTGGCATTACCAGGACCTGGGGGGAAAGGAGAAGGGGGGAAGGATGATGAGTCAACACATAGCATCCACGCCCTGTAGCCCCACGTCCGGGCACTCCCCCGCCCACGCTGCTGCCACCGGTGATTCGTCCCCCTCGAGGGCCTTCACTGTAGCTTGGAACGAGCCCGGCATTACCAGGACCTGGGGAGAAAGGGAGGTGGTGGGGAAAGCGGGGGTGCAATGCAAGAGACTGATTGGCCTTCACGCCCTGCAGACCCACGCCCTGCAATGCACTCCCCCGCCCACGCTGCTGCCACCGGCGATTGATTAGCGGGGGTGCAATGCAAGAGACTGATTGGCATCCACGCCCTGCAGACCCACGTCCGGGCACTCCCCCGCCCACGCTGCTGGCACGGGTGACTCGGGTCCACCTCTAGGGCTTTAACGGTTGCTAGTGCCGCCCCTGGCATCACAAGCACCTGGGGGAAGAGGGGTTCAAGTGGGGAAGGGAGAAAGGGCGATGAGGGTCAGTATCTCCACACCCACGCCCCTCCCCCGCCCACGCTGCTGGCACGGGTGACTCGTTTCGTCCCTCTCCACCGCCCATGCTGCTGCCACGGGTGACTCGTCCACCTCTAGGGCTTTCACTGCTGCTGTAGCCGCCCCTGGCATCAGAAGAAGAGATGGTGAAGGTTTCAAGTGATCTTTCCCCCTGCAGAACCACGTCCGCACACTCCCCCGCCCACGCTGCTGCCACGGGTGACTCGTCCACCTCTAGGGTTTTCACTGCTGCTTCGAACGAACAGGGCATTACCAGGACCTGGGGGGGAGGGAAAGGGAGGAGATGGCAGGGATGTAGATGGGAAAGGCGGAACGGGGAAATTGAAGGGAAGGGGAAGGGGAAAAGGGGAGAAAGGGGAGAAAGGAAGAAAAACTAAGCGTGGCTAGTAGCTTGAATGGTCCCACATTGCTCCTCATCCCATCTCCCATCGGGCCACCATTGCACCCAGCCGCATCGGCCCCCATCGCGCCCCATCCATCTCACTTCTGTACCGCAACATACCGCTCTGCATCCCTTCTCTCAACGTAGTACCGGCTTGCACTGCTCCGCACTCCACTCTCCCCGCCACGCCTGCCTGCCCAGCCCCTTCCTTCTGAGCACTTCATTCCATCCCACAAGGCCATATGGGAATCACTTCTGAGAATTCTCAAAAGTGATTTGCATACAGCTGAGCACTTCATTCATTCCATCCCACAAGGCCATATGCGGCCCATGATTAACTTTCGCCAGAAACCCACATCCACTGCTCCCGTTAGCAACGCATCATACCGCTCTGCATCCAGTCACTCAACTTGGTACCGGCTCGCATTGCTCCGCACGCCACCTTCCCTGCCACGCCATATACCTGCCATGCCTGCCTGCCCAGCCGTCTTGTTTTGAGCACCTCATTCCACCCCATAAGGCCATATAAGGCCATATCACCTCCCACCAAGTCTCCTCTTCCCATCCCTCACCTTGGTACCGGGTCGCATCGCCCCGCACTCCACCTTCCCCGCCACGCCCGCCTGCCCCAGCCCCCTCGTTTCAAGCACCTCATCTTACCTCGCGCCAGGAAATGCTCATCCCAGATCTCACATTTGTACTGCACCGCATCTTACCACTCTGCATCGCTTTCCTCACCTTGGTACCGGGTCGCATCGCTCCGCACTCCACCTTCCCCGCCACACCCGCCTGCCCCAGCCCTCTCGTTTTGAGCACTTCGGCTATCGCCAGGCGCAGGGGGCGGTTGAGGGCGCGGGGCAGGGGGGAGAAGGAATCAACGGCTTCTAGGAGTGTGGGACCTGTGTACCTGCATACAGAGAGAGAAGGGAGGAAAGGAGGGCCGTTCTGAGCACTTCGGCTATCGCCAGGCGCAGCGGGCGGTTGAGGGCGCGGGGAGGCGGGGAGAAGGAGTCAACGGCTTCTAGAAGGGTTGGTCCTGTGTACCTGTGTGTGTAAGAAGGGAGAAGGTACCGGGAGGGGGCGTTAGAGTGAGAGCAGGCGAAAGAGAGATGAAAGGGGAAGAGAAGTCAACGGCTTGTCCCATCACTCCACCTTCCCCACCACGCCTGCCTGCCCCAGCCCTCTCGTTTTGAGCACTTCGGCTATCGCCAGGCGCACCGGGCGGTTGAGGGCGCGGGGCGGGGGGGAGAAGGAGTCAACGGCTTCTAGAAGGGTTGGTCCTGTGTACCTGTGTGGATAAGTGAGAGGAAGGGGGGAAGGAGAGGGAAAGGTATGGGGAGTGGGGAATGTAGGAGAGTGAGAGAAGGCAGCAGGAGAAGGAGTCCACGTAGGGCTTCCAGGAGGGTGGGAGCTTTGAGTCGACTCAAAACTCGACTCAAAACTGAGTCGACTCAAAAGTCACCTCGAAGGAGTCTACCCTACGTACGGTTTCCAGGAGGGTGGGACCTGTATTCTTATTAGAAGACGGGTAGGTGGCGGAAGGGGACAATATAAGTGTGAGAAGGGAAAAGAGAGAAGGGAGGTGAGAAGGAATCAACAGGTTGCCCCACCACTCCATCTTCCCCACCACGCCTCCCTGCCCCAGCCAGCCCCCTCACTTGAGCACTGCTGCTCCTCCCCTGGAGTCAAGTCAACACTGTGATTTGATCAGAGCAGGAGTTGCCTTCTCACATATCCCCTCTGGAGCCCACTCGGAGGCACCCACTTTGCAGCACCAATTCTTACTGCCTATCAAATCAACCAACCTACACCTGCTGCAAACAAATATCACTACACCTCTGCTTCTCACCACTTCTTCAGCCGGTCGTCTGTTGGTGCCGAGTCTAAATTCTCCCCTTGCAGCCCGCTCAGAGGCACCCACTTCACCGCGCCTTCTCGGAACCCGCATTGTCTCGTCAGAAACGGCCCCAGCACGCCTTTGATCCGCTCAAACTCGCCCTGCTCGAACCCGGCAGCGTCCATTTTGTTCACCACAACGCACAGCTGCTCCACCCCCAGGCTCCTAACTATCTCTCCCTTGTAAGAGCTGTCAACTCACTCACCATTTCTTCAGCCGGTCGTCAGTTGGACGGCTGTCCAGATTCTCCCCCTGCAGCCCACTCAGGGGCACCCACCGCACTCCACCCTCCCGGAACCCGCATTGCCGGGTCAGGAACGGCCCCAGCACGCCTCTGATCCGCTCAAACTCGCCCTGCTCGAACCCGGCAGCGTCCATTTTGTTGACCACCACGCACAGCTGGTCCACCCCCAGCCCAGGCTCCTGGCTATCTCTCCATTGTAAGAGCTGTCTACTCACCATTTCTTCAGCCGGTCGTCGGTCGGAGCCGAGTCCAGATTCTCCCCTTGCAGCCCACTCAGGGGCACCCACCGCACTCCACCCTCCCGGAACCCGCACTGCCGGGTCAGGAACGGCCCCAGCACGCCTTTGATCCGCTCAAACTCGCCCTGCTCGAACCCGGCAGCGTCCATTTTGTTGACCACCACGCACAGCTGCTCCACCCCCAGGCTCCTGGCGATCTGCGCGTGCTCCTTGCTCTGCCCCACGTCCTCTCCCCCCTGGCCCCCTCCCATACCCGCCTCGAACGCGCCTGGCGTGGCGTCGATTACTAGAAGGGCCGCATCAGCCTGGGGGTGAGACAGGCAGACAGGGACAGACAAGACAGACAGGAGAGAAGGGAGAGAGAGGAGAGAAAGGGGAGAGGGAGAGTCCATTTTGTTGACCACCACGCACAGCTGCTCCACCCCCAGGCTCCTGGCGATCTGCGCGTGCTCCTTGCTCTGCCCCACGTCCTCTCCCCCTTGGCCCCCTCCCATGCCCGCTTCGAATGCCCCTGGTGTGGCGTTGATTACAAGGAGTGCAGCATCGGCCTGGGGTAGGGAGAGAGGGAGAGGGAGAGACGGGAAGGAAGGAGGGAGAGCAGAGAGGAGCATGGAATGAGCAGCCTCCCCACGTCCTCGCCCCTCTAAGCCACACCCCCACCGCTTCTAAGGTGCCTGGTATGGCGTCAATTACAAGGCATCTCAAGGAGAGAGGGAGCAATGCAATGCAGTGGAGGGACTTCAACCTAAACCGAAATGCCCTTAGTTTCTTTTTTTAACCATCTCCTACCCTTATCCAACCTTATACCTTTCGTTTCCAGCCACAATGTGGAATTTTAACCGTGGGAATGTGGTAGTTGAAGTGGGTAGGGGGCAGAATGCCATCCTTAGGCTATATCGACGATTGAGCTCATTCTTGAGCTCAATCGTCGCCCTCCCCTTTTAGATCCAACCAGCGCGTCAAACTTTGACGCGCAGAAAAAAATGCACCACCTAGGTGTTTGCGACGAACACATTGTGTCCCCGAACACCTAGGTGTGTGTGTGTTCGTGCATTTTTCTGCACACGAACACTCGAACAGTCGAACGTGTTGGTGACGAACACCAAGGTGTTTGTCACGAACAAGTTTGGGCAAACAAAACCAGTCGAACACTTTCGAGTCGAACACTTACGAGTCGAATCGAACAGGGGTTCAAAATTTTGCCCATGTCTAAACTGTGCAGTGCCGGCAATCATGGACGGCACAAACTCCCTGTGTGACCAAGCTCTGAGACGCATCAAATCCCAAATTCTCCTTCTAAATACCCCCCTCCTCCCTTCCGCCCGCCCCCCCCCCCCCCCCCCCCCCCCCTCCTCCCTGTTTCCCCTGCTCACCTGCGCAGTGCCGGCAATCATGGACGGCACAAAGTCTCTGTGACCGGGCGCATCCAGCAGAACCACGTTCAGCCTGCTGATGCGGGGAGGGGAGGGGGGTTGGGGTTGTGGAGAGAGGCGGAGCGGTGACAGGGGGAGGGGGGGGGGGTAAGAACAAAGTCCCTGTGACCGGGCGCATCCAGCAGCACCACGTTCAGCCTGGTGATGCGGGGAGGGGAGGGGGGTTGGGGTTGTGGAGAGAGGGGGAGCGGTGACAGGGGGAGGGGGGGGGGGGTAAGAACAAAGTCCCTGTGACCGGGCGCATCCAGCAGAACCACGTTCAGCCTGGTGATGCGGGGAGGGGAGGGGGGTTGGGGTTGTGGAGAGAGGCGGAGCGGTGACAGGGGGAGGGGGGGGGGGGTAAGAACAAAGTCCCTGTGACCAGGCGCATCGACCAGAACCACGTTCAGCCTGGCGATACGGAGAGGTGGGGGGGTGTGTGGAAACGGCGAGGCGGCTGGAGAGAGGGGGGTTGGTCACAAAGTCTCTGTGACCCGGCGCATCAAGCAGAACCACGTTCAGCCTGGTGGTGGCACGGGTGTGGGGGGCGGCGGGGATGGGGGTGGGGGGTGGGGAGGGGTGTGGTGGGGTTGGTCACCGAGGAAGCGAAGGGGAGGGGTGGGGGAGAAAGAATTCAGTGAGCTAGAACTCGAGATGCTTTTGAACAGTCCCGATGGTCCGGCACGTCGAGCAGAACCACGTGATTGAAGAAGTGTTTTGAGACGTCTCAAAACAGAGCCACGTTCAGCCTGATGATGGCACGGGCAGGGATGGGGGTGGGAGTGGGGATGGGTGTGGGAGTGGGGATGGGTGTGTGGGTGGGGGTGTGGGTGGGGGTGGGAGTGGGGGTGGGGACATCGTGACCGCTCTCACGCACTCCTCGCTGCTTTCAACCAGCACCCACATGAACGCAAACGACCCCTTGCCCTGGCCAGCCAGACCACTGTTCGAACCCAGCCTCTCGCAACTTGGCAAGGCACCCTAGCCATCCTACCACAGGACAGCACACACACCCAGCACTCACTTTGGGGTTTCGAATCGGGACATGGCCACGGACATGGTCACCCCTCTCGCCCGCTCCTCGCTGCTCTCGTCCAGCACCCATGCAAACGCGAATGATCCCTTGCCCTGGTTGGCCGCATCTCTCTGCACTCGATGCATCTCCTTGTTGCTCACTCGCCCCAGCTTGTGCAACAGGTGGCCCATGATGGTCGATTTCCCCGCATCCACGTGACCCAGCTGCGAGGGGAAGCGGGAGAGAAGGTGAAGGCGGGTAAAGGCAGTCCCTCTGCACTCGATGCATCTCCTTGTTGGAAACCCGGCCTAGCTTGTGCAGGAGATGCCCCATGATGGTTGATTTCCCTGCGTCCACGTGACCCAGCTGCAGGTGGAGGTGGGTGGGAAAAAGGGCAGCAGCAGAGAAGTGAGAAGGCGGAACATGGGGTTAAGTTAGGGCAGGCAAGCAGCCCCTGTGCTGTGCATGCGATGCATCTGCTTATCACACACAACCCCTGTGCTGTGCATGCGATGCATCTGCTTGCATGAGACTCGCGCTCGCCACAACCGGTTGTGCAGAAAATGGCCCTGATGGATCACACATGGTCTTTCTGAGAATTATGAAAATTATCCTGTTGACAGTTGCGTGAAAAGGGAAAGAAGAAGGAGCGAGGGCCTGAGCTTCACACCTGACCTGACCTAGACAGACTCTTTTGCTGCTCTCTCAGACAAGGCAACCTCTATGAGATGCAGGCTGGGTTTCCCAGTAGTACCACCACCCACTCCTTACCACCCTTTACCACCCCTTGCCCACCCTATTCCACTCACCACAATAAGGTGCAGAGTCGGCTTTCCATCTCCTCCTTCCAACCCCTCTTTAATCCACCCCTCCGCCTCATACGCCTCTAGAGCTTTCCGTCTCCTCGTCTCTTCATCCTCCCCTCCCTTGCCCTCCCCTCCTCCCTCTCCCACCCCTGCAGCGGCTGCTGTGGCTGTAGCAGCTGTAGCAGTTGTGCTAAAGCCAGCACTGGGTGAAGCTTCTTTCTTGCTTCCTTCTGTAATCTGAATCTTGCCAACGCCTGCTGCTGCCACGTCAGCAGCAGGGGATGCTGAGCTGGACGCGCGGCTGCTGCTGCTGTTGGCGTTTTTCGCTGCTGTCGTTGCAGCCGAGGAAGCTGGCAAGGCTGCTGACGTGGCAGCAGCACGTGGTGCCACGTGTCCTCCTTTCAGGGCGGATTGGATGGCATCATCGGGTGAAGGAGTGGAGAAATCGAACGGCTCTGAGGGTATGGGAGAAGGGGGGGGAAAGAGAAAGGGAGAGAGTGGGAGATTGTTGTATTATACTATAAAACGGTTCTGAGGGGAGTGGAAAGAGAACGGTTCTATTCTAACGGAAGTTTATCCTCCCCTCCCCTCCTCCCCCCACAAAAGAAAAAAAAAGAAAAAAAAAAAAAATCTGCATTCCACCAAAGCGTTTCCTCCTCTTGTGTCTCAAGAAAGAAGCAAAAAAGGAAAAATTCCTCACCCCACCTATTCTCATCTCCCCTGCCGCTTTCAGCACCCAAGGCACTCGGGCCAATGGGAGCACGCCAAGTGGCTTCTGTCCCTCAGAGGACTGCTGCAGCAGCACACACGCACCCCTCCCCGCCTCCGCACTCCCCCTGCTCACCCTCCCATACCCCTGCTTGCGCCGGCAGCGCGGGGCAGGGACAGCAAGGCTTGCACCCAGAGGTGACACCTGGGGGAGGCTGGACCTGGAATTCAGGCCCAGAGGCGGTACTTGGGGAAGGTGGACCTGATTTGGGCTGATCCCCTTGGTCGGATCGCTCTCTCTTTCTGACTCTGTGGAAGATCGCGTGTGCGGCCGTGGCTGTGAGAGTGCCTGGTGCGCCTGGTGCCTCTCTCGCCCCCGTGCCCCCTCCGTGTGTGTGCCTGCACACAGGCAGCAGCACAGGAGGGGCGGGAGCAGGAGCGGAGGCACCAGCTTGTACTGGATATACGCGGTTTCGATACATGGCGAAGTTTTTTTAGTCAACTCAAAAATCGACTCATCAAACGAGGGGCGGGAGCAGGAGCGGAGGCACCAGCTTGTAGTGGATCTACGCGGTTTTGATACATGGAGAAGTTTTGCCCCTCCCTCTCTCTCCCCGTCCCCTCTCGCCCTCTCTCTCGCCGTCCCAACTCACCCTCTCCTCAAACGGCCCTCTCACCCTCTCTCTCTCCCTTGCCCCCTCCGTGTGCCGGCACACAGGCAGAGCAAAAGGGGAAGGAGCTGGTAGACGCAGCTAGTGCGCGAATTTAAAGACACACCTCCACATTCCACAGTTCCATGATGCGACCAGCAGCACAGCACAGTAACCAGCCACAGCATACCTTGTTCCGCAGCAGCATCAACGGCTGGTCTGGCGGCGCTACACACGTCGCATGAAAGGAAGAGCGGGTGGATTTCGGAATGTGCACCAGCCATGGCATACCTTGTTGAGCGGGTTTGGCGGCACTGCAGACGTCGCACGCGAGGAAGAGCGGCGGGTTGTCGAACGTGCACGCCGCGCACCTCCATGTTCCACCTGCGCCGCCGCCGCTCGCTACGGATCCGCCCTTAGCGGCGGACCCCCCAGAAACTGGGGCGTCAGTGGGAGGGTTTTCCGCTTTGCTCGGGGTAGTAGCGGGTGACTTGGATCCAGCCTTTCCCCCCGGATGCTGCTGCTGCGATTTCTGCTGAGCTGATTGCTTCGCTTGTGGCTGCTTCGCTTGTGGTTGCTTCGGTTGCGGTTGTTGCTTTCCACCTTTCTGGGATTTCGCCTGCAGCCGTCCTGCCTCCTCGTACTCGTCATAGTCGTCCTCGTCTTCGTCATAATCATCATCGTCGTACCCGTCGTCCCAATCGTCATCGTCGTACTGTTCCTTCCCGCGCGGCATACTATTGCTCTCACAATGCTACGACTCTTTGTACGTAAGAACAAAACGACACAAAAGGAACCAAGACTGTAGGGATAAGCCCCAAAGATCTAAAAACGCCAACGGCGGAAAGCACGGCTATTGAATTATATAACCTTGACCCGCTATAGGGCGTATGGAACGGACTGACCAGCCTATGGTCTGGTCGGGCTGAACTGACTGCCTACCTCTCTGATCTGTGGGGCTGTGTAGTAATCTAACATCCCCGATTGGATAGACTATGGGGTGTGGCTGGATGTAATAGGCTAAACATCATGGGATTGAGAGATCACTATAATTTGCAATGTCATGTAGTTGCATATTCAAAAGGAAGTTCTGCAGTAGTATCATACATTCTTTTTTAATGTTGGATTTGGAATGCGCACTGGTATTAACTTTGCCCCTGTGATTGACAAGTGCTAAAAAAATTACAAATACGCGATAAATCAGTGATAATAAAGAAACTTGATAGTTCTAGCAGCAACCAGCTGTTATAGATATGTTATGAGCCATTTCGCATATTGTGTAGAATTTCATGTCTGACGTTCAAGAATCTTTGTTGTAACACAATGCAGACGGATCATAGATTCCTAGTCTGGACTTTGTTTGGATGCATTAATTTCCACTTGGCAATCTCAGTCGTTACAGAGATAACTCGAAACAAGACCCAGCAGAAGCTCTCTCAATAGCGGGTAAGTTTACCTTCTCCACCCACACCTCATCCCTACCAACTCGGCCCGTGGCCTTGGGATTTCCTTTCAAGCCTGCTTCGATTCGCTTTTGAACCTCAAATCTCAAGTCAAGCCAAATCACTTCGCTTTCTTTCCTCTGTACGTTCTCGAAGCATCTCCTCTCTCATTTACGGTAATTCAGCTTTTTGGATCCCGCGTTTACATTAGCTCCTCTGCGTCGTTACTTTTTCCAAGCTGTCAACTTTTGATTCCCTTTTCATGCTTAGAAGCAACTGTTGGCAGCTTGAAGCAGCCGTTTCTTGACCCGTCGGGTTGTTCTCGAACCGATGACGAATAGGTGGGTGCGTCTGCTAGGCGTGATACTCTACGTATAATGCTTAGAGGTCGTTCTCGTCAACACGCGTGGCTGCACGGGCTCCACGTGACGTTAGAACGCTATTAGTGGAGTAGCACTCCGATTTTCTTCGCACGTTTTTTCTTAGCACTCCGATTTTCTGAGGCTTCCTGTTTCGACCCCAAAGCCATAACGCGAGCGATTTAGGTCAGCTAGTGACACTTATCTTAACGCACTACATCTCTTGATTTCATTAGTATGAGCGACGCAGTGGTGCTGTCGCTTCCCTCTCCCCTTCCCGTTCTTCCATAGTTGCTATCTAGCTGAACCTGGTGGTAATACCGTTAACGCATTACAGCAATGGTCTTCTTGTCGCCATCTCGGTTCTTGGTGGCTCCGTTTTCATCCTCGGTCACATTTCGAGACGTCTTTTTTATCGAATGTACCTCTTTTCGTTTCTAACGCTGCGTCTGGCATCGCTTGGGCATTCGTTCTCGCTTTCGCATGTGAAATTCGACTCTTTTTTCATCTTTTGACATGTTTTTTTCCCCAGAGTTTTGTGCAAGTACTTCGTTAATGGAGCATGCAGTAGAGGGGACAGTTGTCCCTTTTCCCACAATTGGAAGGACAAACCTAACATGGTGCGGCCTCTGTTCCGTCATCCTCTATCTTGTCATCCCCCGTTTTTGTCAACCCCTGTTCTGTCACCTCCTTGTAACCCCCTGTCCCTGTCACCTCCTTGCCACACCCTGTTCTGTCACCTCCTTTCACTGTGTGTTCGGTGTTTGATTGATCGGGCTTGCACCATATGACCATCAATGCTGCAACAACCGCACTTCATGCTTACATACCTGCCGCTCCCACACCCTTTTCATCTCGTTCCAGCATCCGCTCTCTTGCACCCATACTCCCTCACACCCACACACCCACATACCCACACACCCACATACCCACACACCCACATACCCACACCACACACACGCAACCACACATCCACACTCTCACACACCCACACACACATACACACCCAGCTGTTCCTCTCCATGTCCCACTCCTCCTCCGCCCGTTTTGTGCTTACCCCATCCACTTCAGGCGTGTGTGTTCTACCAGCGTGGCGTCTGCTCCTATGGCGATCGCTGCCGCTACGACCATGTCAAGCCCAAACCCTCCTCCGCTACCGCCGTTCCTGCTCCACCACCCGCCACTGTCCCACCCACACAACCGAATTTTGCACCCAATCTCCCCTCTGTTTCCCCCGCCCGCGCTGCTGGTGCGTCGGCACTTCCCTCTGCTTCCCCCTCACGTCCCACTGCTGCCCCGCTTGCTGCCGCCACTACCACTAGCAGCAGCAGCAGCAGCAGCAGCGCCAGCAGAGGTGTCAGCAGCAGCAGTGGGAGCACTGTGAGCAGCAATAACGGGAGTAGCAGACTCACAGGCAGTAGCAGCAGCAGCAGCAGCAGCACTGGGGCTAGTAGGGTCACTGGTAACGGTGTAACCGCCACTAGCAAGGGTGCAGCCTTCACTAGCAACGGTTCTGTTAGAGCGGCTTCCAGTCCTGCTGCTGATTCTCTCTCCTCCCTCTCCTCCTCCTCCTGGCCTTCCCTTCAGCCCCAAACCGCAGCTGCTTCCGCTACCGCTGGCAGCTCTAATGCAACACCTCAGTACCCCGCCAGTGGTTCCCCATACTCCGCCAGAGGACCCCCATACCCATCCACACCTCCTGTCACCACGCCTCTTCATCACTCCCCCGTACCTGTCCTCCCCACTTCCTCTTCCTCCGCCTCCTCTCCCTTCACTGCTCCCTCCCTCTCCTCTGCTTCCACCACTCCTTCATCCACTACCCGTCTTTCTGTTTCTGCTACTCCCTCCTCCTCCTCCTCTACCCCGCTCTCTGTCTCCGCCACTCCCTTCCTCCCCTCTGCTGCTGCCGCCCCCTTCGTTCCGTCCAGCCAATCAACAGGCTCCTCCACGTCAGCAGTCGTGAATCCATCCTCTTCGTCCCTCCCACCTTCTAGGTTGACACCCACCGCGCCTGCTTTCCACCCTCCCGCTGCTGCTCGTGCTGCTGCTGCTTCTGCTGCTCCTGGTGATCGTTCTGCTGCCGCTTTTACTACTGCTGCTGCAACTGCCCCTTCTGCTGCTGCAGCAGCAGCAGTACCGGTTACCACCACTGTCATCCGTAACCGTTCCGGCCTCTACACCCCAGCCCAGTACTATGCAGAACGCGCACAAGCCTCTATACCCGTTACAGGGCCTATACACGCTACAAACGGACTCGTTTCCGGGTACAGCTACGCCCACCCCTCTTCCGCTGCAGCCGCCATGCCCCAATACGACCCTGCTCTCTCCCCCGAGGCAATATTCGAGCGAGATGCGTCAGGGAGCTCATTGGACGGTCCAGATTGGCTGCCGCGATCTGCGAGCGATCTGTTCGACAAGGGGCTTCCTGTGATGCGCATGAGTAGCGGTGGAGGGAGTGGGGTGAACCAGAGAGGAAATGCAGCTGTATTGGGGTTTGTCGAAAGAGAACAAGGGGGGATAACAGGGCCCGAGGGTGGGGGAATGCGCATGGGTGGGACAGATCAAGCGGCGGGAAAGCTGGGTTCTGTGTTGCAGGGGCCGCAGCAGAGTGTGTGGGTGGAGAAGGACTCGTTAGTGAGTGATTCGCTAGTGAGTGACCCGTTTGGGGAGGAGGAGCTGGGGTTTGAGTGTGAGGTAGGGGAGGAGGAGCCGCAGCAGCAGGGCGTGTGGGCAGCGGAGGGGGGGGCGGGGTTTGCGAGTGAGGAGGAGTTTGAGGACTTCGTGAGAGAGGCGAGTGACTTCTCTGCTCAGGCAGCTGCTCTGAGAATAGGGCTTATCGCTCTCATGGATGAGGAGAGTCCTGGTTCTGCTGCTGGTGCTTCTCCTGTTGCTGCTGGTGCTTCTCCTGTTGCTGCTGGTGCTGGTGCTGCTGCAGCCACTTCGGCTCCTGAAACCTCAGCAGCATCTGCAGCTCCTGCTTTCTCAGCAGCTGCTGCAGCAGCAGCGACAGCTCCTGCTGCTGTATCGTTAGCACCTGCAGCCTCTGTAGCATCTGTGGCCGCTGGTGGTGATCGATCAGTCATTGGAACCCAAGTGCTTGACCCTGTAGGCAAGCCTTCTGCTGCTGGGCGGTTCCCTGTTGATTACTCTGCTGGTTACGACGATCCTGGTGGTTATGCTGCTGCCTATGCTGGCTACAGTGGCTATCGCGGGAATGGTGGGTATGGTGGTTACAGTGCAAACGCTGCCGATGCTGCTAATGGTGGTAGTGTCCCTGCGTTGCCCAGCAACAACAGCAGTGGTGGTGGCAGCAACAGCAGCGGGTACAGTGCCTCTTTGGCTGACAGGCTTGACAAACCTGACATGCCGCTCTGCACGCTGCCTCGAGTGGAGGCTGCTTCAGGCGCCTGCTGTGCCCGCGGCCCCTCCTGCCCCTTCCCCCACGGGGACCTCTGCCCCCACTGCGGCCGCTACTGCCTGCACCCTGCTCGACCCACGGTGAGTGTCTTTCTGTGCCATTGTGCCCAACCTCCCCCTGTTCTCCTGCCCGCACTGCATTGCATTTCGTGCGAATCTCTCCCTCCCCTCCCTCCCCTCCCTTCCCCCACCCACCCCCTTACCCTCCCCCCACGGGGACCTCTGCCCCCACTGCGCCGCTGCGGCCTGCACCCTGCTCGTCCCACAGTAAGCGACTTTCTGTGTCAACCTGCTGACATGCCACTCTTGCCTCTCGTCTTTCTTTTCATCGTCCCCACTCCCATCCCTCGCCCCGCCTCTTTCCTCACGGCCTGCCTTCCTGCCCGCTCCAGCACACCACAGGAGCGGGAGGAGCATATAACTGAGTGCGTGCGGCTGCAAGGTGCAAGCACTATAGCTGAGCTCGAATGAGTGCAGTGTGTGTCTGGAAGGAGTGCTGGGGAGAAGATCTTGTCTTGGTCTGAGTCCCATTGTCCACTCCTCCCAACAACCCATCCACCCACCCACCCGCACACTACAGGAGCGGGAGGAGCATGTGAAAGAGTGCATGCGGCTGCAGAGAAAAGTGCAAGCCTTAAAGCTGAGCTCAGAGATTGAGTGCAGCGTGTGCCTGGAGCGCGTGCTGGGGAAGGCCCGGCCTGCCGACCGCAAGTTTGGCATTCTCTCCCACTGCGACCACCCGTTCTGTGTTGCGTGCATCCGCAACTGGCGGGCTGCTGGGCAGGTGAGGGTGGGAAAGGGAAGGGAAGGGAAGGAAAGGGGTGAATGTGTGTGGGAGGGAAGGAGAAAGAGGCATCAAGTGTTTGTATACAGGTGGTGGTGAGTGGTTTGGCATCCTCTCCCACTGCGACCACCCCTTGTGTGGCACATGCATTTGCAACTGGGGGGCTGCTGGGCGGGTGGGTGTGGCGTGAGGGTGGGAGAGGGTGGGACAGGGGGGACAAGGGGGGACAGAGGGGGGAGAGAGTGCATTCGCAACGGGGGGGCTGCTGGGCGGGTGGGTGTTTTGAGGGTTGGTGAATGGGAAGGAGAGCGGTTAATCGTGTGTGCCGTGTGTGTTCCTTTAGTGCGTGCAACCACCTTTGAGTCGACTCAAAAGTCACCTTGAATGGGAAGGAGAGCGGTTAATCGTGTGTGCCGTGTGTGTTCCTTAAGTGTGTGCAACCACCCTCCCTCCTCACCATCCATCCTCCGCTCCCCTTCAACCCCCCAGCAGGACAGTTGATCCTTTTGGACCTGGACAACGCAGTAAATTTTGAGGCGTCTCAAAAGCCCCGTTGGACCTGGACAACGCAGCGACAGCATGCCCCGTGTGCCACGTGCGCTCACCTGCCTTGTACTCTCTCGCCCCTCCCGTTCCGCTCCCTTGCCCCAGCAGGACAGGTGGCGAGTCGGTCCCTTTGGATTTGGACAACGCGGAGAGAGCATGCCCCGTGTGCCGCGTCCCATGAGTGTAACCACCTGTTGTTCTCCTCTCTCCTCTCCCCGTGAACCCCCCAGCAGGACAGTGGCGAGTCGATCCCTTTGGATTTGGACAGCGCGGAGAGAGCATGCCCCGTGTGCCGCGTCCCATGAGTGCACTCACCCACCCATTGCTTTCCATCCTCCTTCCTCTCCCCTTGCCCACACGCTAGCAGGAGAGTGGCGAGTCCGTCCCGTTAGACCTGGACAACGCAGTGAGGGCATGCCCCGTGTGCCGCGTGCGATCGCACTTTGTCACGCCCAGTGTGGTGTGGTTCTTCAGCGAGGAGGAGAAGCAGGCGATCATCGAGGGATACAAGAGAAAGCTCAAGTGAGAAGCGGGTGGGAGGGTCTGTGAGGTACCTGGGGGATGTCCCCTCTAGCTCTGTCACGCCCAGTGTGGTTTGGTTCTTCAGCGACGAGGAGAAGCAGGCGATCATCGAGGGATACAAGCGGAAGCTCAAGTGAGAAAGGGGTGGGAGGGTTTGTGAGGTACCTGGGGGATGTCCCCTCTAGCTCTGTCACTCCCAGTGTGGTTTGGTTCTCTAGCGAGGAGGAGAAGGGGGCTATTATCGAGGGATACAAGCGGAAGCTCAAGTAAGAACAAGAGGGGGGTTGGGGGGGGGGGGGGGTGAGGGAGAGGCGGGAAGGCAGAGAATAGAAAGGAAGGTATGAGTGTGTGTGTGTGGTTTCTCTGTCGGAGGAGTGGGGGGGAGTGTATCGCACATGGTGAATTGGGTTGTCTTGTCATTCCCAGTGTGGTGCGGATCTTCAGTGAGGAGTAAGCAGGCTCTCATTGAAGGATTCAAGAAGAAGCTCAAGTGAGAAACCGGGGTGGTTGGTGGTGAGCAGGAGGGTTGCGAGTTACTTGGGAGGTGTCGCTTATGCCTTGTCACACCCAGTGTGGTTTGGTTCTTTAGCCGTTGCTGTAGTTGAAGTGGCGACAATCTGTGCTCCTGTGGGGGGGGGGAGATAAGGGTGGGGGGGAGAACAATGGAGAAGCAGGGAAACGCAGACGCGTCCATACAAAAACACCGTCAGTTTTGAGTCGACTCAAAACCAGACGCGTCCATACAAAAACAATGATGAAAGTGAACTGCGTCAGCCATGTGGACTGGGCGAGCTGCAGTCGGGAAGTCACTTTTTGACGGCGTCCATGCAAAAACAATGATGAACGTGTGCAAGAGCGCAATGTCGCTTTCTGCATCACAAGTCTGGAGGTCTACTTACACTTGCCCATCTGAGCAAACTAAAACACACTCACTGAGAAAGTCGCACTCTCACCCCCCTCACAGGAGCACTGACTGTCGCTTCGCTACTTCAACGATGGCAACGGCCGGCCAGTGCCTCAGTCTCTCATCATCCTCCTTCCTCAGACTGTCACCGACTCCCCCTTCCACCTCTCTTTGCACCTGTTCTGTTCCCCTTTACTCCCCCCTCTCTCCCCCCCCACAGGAGCACTGACTGTCGCTACTTCAACTACGGCAACGGCCAGTGCCCCTTCGGCACCAGCTGTTTCTACAAGGTGCTTCTCTCTCGCCCTCTCTGCTTGTCTCTTGCCCTTTCGCTCCCCCTTTGCTGTCTTGCTTGTCATGGTCCGGCTTACACGGTCTCTTTTGACGTCTAAAAATTCCCTTTGGAACCCAGCTGCTTAAGGTGTGTGTTTCCTTTCTGCTCGTCCTTCCTTTTGTGTTCGTCCTTGCATATTCGTTCTTAGGTGGTCACAGTTCCATTGTATTGTCTCCTGCCCTTAGCCTATGAGTATCCTTGCCTCCCATTTCTTCGTTCCCCACACATTCTCTCATCTCCTCTCTCCCACTCCCAATCTTCCCCTCGCTTTTTTTTTCTCACTTGCCTTGTTTGTTCGTTTTGGTTTCCCGTCACCCTTGTCCATTTATTTTATTCTGGTTACCCATCTCCCTTCTCCATTCCATTTATTTTATTTCTCCATCCCTCCATTCCCCCCACCCCTCCCCGCCAAACCCCCCTCTCCTCCGCCGTTCCTCCCACCACCACCCCGACCACCATGCACTCCCAGCCCGCATATCAGGATGGGCGGCCGGAGGAGGAGAAATTGCTGATGAAGCGCCTGAAAAGTACCTATTTTTCCCTCCTCCACCCCCCAAACCTCTCCCTCCCTCCCACCACCTCTCACTTGCAGCACGCATATCGGGACGGGCGGTTGGAGGAGGTGAAATTGCGGCACCTGTCTTCTGCTGATGGGAGTGCTGTCATTTCGAGAGACATCAGGTGTGAATGGAGTTGCATGGAACTTTGATGACACCTTAAAATAATAATACCAAGTTGAATGAATGAATATTCATGTTTTGTTTCGTGTTTCTGACTGTACTGACGAACCTGCTCCTCGCTGTTTTACACTGTATGCTGTTATCCCAATTGGCAGGTTATCTGATTTCTTGGGTAATGTTGGCCAAAGACGATGAACCTTCTTGAAACTCCGTAGATATCTAGTCAATGTGTAAAATCGATTTCTCATATTTGTAGTCCAAACATATATGAAATCAGGAGCTATAAAGTTCTTAATGAAGATATCTTGAACTGCTTTCCGTATATGTAAACTGGAAGTGTACATAATCTAGAAAACCAGTCAGGAGATTTTGCATGAAACGAAACTAATTCATAGTAAACTGCCGTCGATCCTAAGGTCTGGTGCGAGCTGCAGGTGACTGATTTTAGGCAAGCTTGAGACGCGTTCCCCAAGAGGTTACTGTGGGAATCTCGAGGATTTTGTCCGTAAACGCGACACGCGTGCAGGGGACGCACTGCATTATGGCGTCGTCATTTCGCATCCCATCGCTCGCTCGGCTCGCGAGCGTCCCGCTGTTCGTTCTGTCGCTAGCGTTCGTCGCATGCCGTCGCACGGCGGCCGTCGTGCTGCTGGTGGAAGGCAAGGAGTGCCTCACGGAGCACCTAGAAGCGAACGAGGCGGTGACAGGAAGCTTCGTGGTTATTGACGTCGACAGCGCGTGGCTTAGCGACGCGGGAACCATCGACTTCGAGGTTCGTCTTACCCTTGAGCTTCCACCCTTAATTCAAAGTCGGTCAGATATGGCTGATGCAGACCGTTGACGGTCGATACCAAACCTCTGCCGAACCTGTTGGACTGGAGGAGAGTACTGCGACTGTCGATATCAAACCTCGTCCTTCACGGTTCCTGGCCGATCAAAGCGGTTACTGTTTTATTCAATTTTATCGCCAAGCTGTGTAGGCCTTTAGTCAGAGGTCATCAAGCCGACTGCATCAGCACATCATTGCTCACGCAGCTCTTATTGTGCCGGTATATTGAGGGTGTTACATTTCTTTCATTACATTTCTTTTTCAGATCAATGCCATATCGCAATCTGCATTTCAGATCCACAGCACACCGCAGCAACCACGGCTCCAGTTCAGATTCATGCTCTCAGAAACCACGGCTCCTGCCTCTTCCCATCTCTCACTCTCATTTAACACACTACTTCTGTCCACGTGTTTTCGCTTGTAAAATGCAAATCGCAAGGCGGAGGACAATTTCCAGCTCCGGTCCATGTACTCGGGCGACTACAGCTTGCTTACCCCCATAACTCCCTCTCCTTTGGCCCGTGCTCTCTGTGTATGCGCGCGTGTTTTCCCTTGTACTCTCCCCTCCCCTGTTCGCCAATTCAGATAATAGGCCCACACAACCTGAAGCTGTACAGTGCAAAGCGCAAGGCGGAGGACAATTTCCAGTTACGGTCCATGTACTCGAGCGACTACAGCTTCTGCTTAACCCCACCTCCCCCTCCATCTCTCCCTGTCCTACAAGTTCCGGTCCATGTGCTCGGGCGACTACACCTTCTGCCTCCATCCAAACCTCCCTCTCCTCTCGCATTGACTCTTTGTTTATACGCGTTTTCCCCCTCCTGGTTTCAGATTATCGGTCCGCACAACCTGAAGCTGTACAGTGCGAAGCGCAAGGCAGAGGACAACTTCCAGTTCCGGTCCATGTACTCGGGCGACTACAGCTTCTGTATGGACAACACGGACCACATGGCAGCTACTGTTCAGCTTAGCTACCACATCGGCCACAAACCACACACCCATGAGGTGGCCAAGGATGGTGAGTCGCACGGTCACGAGGTGGCAAGTATGTCATTCCCATATTTGGGACAATACACATGCTGCTTATGTTTGTACCTTTAAGTCATACCCTTCACCTTCTACTCCTTCAGAGCACATGCAGGGAGTGCTTGGACGGGTGGAGTCAATTTGATCCAGTCTGGTTTGGTGCGGCAGGACGTCCTTTCCCATCCCTTTCCTGACCACCCCTCCCCACCACCCCAACTCTTCTATTCCCTCTCAGAGCACATGCAGGGAGTGCTTGGTCAGGTGGAGTCAATTCGTTCTGGTCTGGTCTTGGTGCAGCAGGATCAGGCCTAATTCCATGCCCTTCCAAAACTATTCCCCTCCTCTTCCCGCGTGCTTGCTGTCCTCAGAGCACATGCAGGGAGTGCTTGGTCAAGTGGAGTCAATTCGTTCTGGTCTGGTCTTGGTTCAGCAGGATCAGGCCTATTTTCAAGCCCGCGACGAACGGCGACGGAGAAGTGAGTGTCTCTGCTTTTTTCTTTCCCTCTCCTTGTGAATCCTCCTTTTCCTTACTTATCTGTTCCCCGCATTACTCATCTTTGTCAACCCCTTATTTTAGACCGTGGGCTTCTAGTTAATTATTCTTTGTTGTGTCTCTTGAAAGAGTTTGTTGTGCCGTGATTGCTTGCAACATATACCAGGAACCTTTCTGTATTGTTTTGTTCTTTTGGGAAACTGCTAGCCACTTCACACCAACCAGTTTCGGGGATTCTATTTGTAATTCTTGCCTTTTGTTGTACTTGTGGGCAAATTGGCATGCGCGTGCAGCAAATGAGAGCACCAAGCAGCGAGTATTTTGGTATGCCCTGCTGGAAGTGTTGGTGCTTGTTCTTGCCAACGGAGCTCAAGTGCTCATTCTCCATCACCTTTTCAACAAAGCTGCTGCCAGAAGCCGCAAGTGACAAACTGCCAGAATTCCTGGATTGTAGGGTAGCCGGAATGGTGTGTTGGGGATGTAGGATTCTGTCATTGGTTTGTATTGTCCATGTCAGAAAGCTATTAAATTGTGCTGTTAGCTGATGTGATCCTTTATGAAGATAAGAGATCGAAGTGTAGTAGAGGTTTTATTTCACTACATACTGAAAATGTGCTTCTCCACTCTAATGTGCGACTGTTTTGCAATTGAGTGCTGCGGAATCTCACATCGAGGATGGATGTGTTTCTCCCCTTCCTGAAAACTTTGCGCTGATTCGTGCATCTGTTCGTGCGTGGCATTCATGGACGGAAGGCAAACTCCACGTGTATTTCAATATCTCGCCTGCCTTTGACCTAGGTGGCATCGCTTTCCCTCCACACAGGCCCACTGGCTGGTCAGAAAGTCGAACCGCAAATTTTTATAACGCGGCTCGTCTAGTTGTTCCTCGCCCAAACCAGCTCCATTGAAGCAGCTCTCTCATTCGCCACGAGATGTCGCTTCTGCTTTGCGAAATGCGAAACCTGTCGCAATCCACACAGCCGGTCCCTGTCGACATTTCGTCAAAAGAGGGACAACACCAATGTAAATTATCTGATTCCCGATTCCCGACAGCGAATCAGCAGCAGCCCAGCATAATCTTCATTTTAGGGCATTTTCTAGGAACCATTCATTACTCGTCTCCCATCTCTGTTCCTAAAAAGTGTTGTACGAGAACGAACGACAGCTTTGCGTAGCTCACTTCTAAGAGCGATCTCGTCCAAAGCAGCATCAGTCCTTACCGAAGGTGAGGCAAGAGTTAACTTCAGGAGAAACAGTTTGTCGTCGTTCCGCAAGCCTTCTAAGAATAAAGCTCCCTCGGTCAAGCTTCACGCCGTCATGGCCACGTCAGCAGCAAATACCGCCCACATATGCGCGCGTTGCACGCTGCCAGAGTCGAACAGTCAGACAGTGTCGCACGGTAGTAAGCTAGAGATGGCGACGATCTTAGGAGCTACCAGACAGCCATCGCATGTTACCATCGCGTCTTCTCGACAACATAGTAGCCGGCGGTCCGATGGCCAATTTCGCGCCGCTTCTGTGTTGTCGGGAAATAAGAGCGGAAGGCTCGCCGTTGGGGGAACCAATGGCTCCGGTTCCCAGCAGTGCAACATTACACTACCTAGGATTAAGCTTATATCGAGGACTCCAGGCCAGCCCGCGTCGCGGCGGCTGTCTGTGCGAGCCTCGGCAGTTTCGAGGGACGGCGGCTCGCGCGAGGTGTGGGAGGTGCCGCCGTCGTGGAGCGATTTTCCTATCGGTAAGATCTTAAATCGTTAGCCATTACTAGTTAAACCGAGAAATAATCATATAAAGTAAGTTGTCAGTAGAATACTGATTAATATCTTAATAATTAATATTAATATTATTATTAAGACCTTTTCCCCGTGGCCCCGCGCAGTGCGCAATAGAGAGCGCGCGTGCGCCGCCAATGCGTGCGCCTAAGGCTTCCCAATTTCCGCCTTTCCTTCGTTCGCCGTTACATTCCGGCCTGTCGCAAGCGTGGCGGTGCTGCTCGCCGTAGAGCACGCGCTCGCCGCCACTGCCCGCGCCGACACCCCCTCAGCTTCCCCATTTTCCCCTTCCCCCCTCCTCTTCCCTGTTTCCCCGTCTCCCCCCAATCCCCATTCCCCCTATTCCCCCATTCCCCTACGCCTTGCAGTGCGCTCTATTGCGGGCGTGGCGGTACTGTTTGCGATAGAGCGCGCGCTCGCCGCCACTGCGCGCACCTACAGCTTCCCCGTGCCCGCGCCCGTGCTGATGCTGGCGGGAATCGGCGCGCTTATGGCGACCGGGCTGAAAGAGGCGGAGATGGGTGAGTGACTGGAGGAAAGCGGGAGATGGGGAGTGAAAGGGGGGAACTCGCGGGAATCAGCGCGATTGTGGCGACCGGGATTATAGAGGCAGAGATGGGCGAGTGACTGGGGAAAGAGGGGGGAGTGGGGAAGGAGGATAAGGGGATTTGGGGAAGGTTGGAGGGAGACGAAGTACGCATGGTTAATGGGGCTAAGGCGGCGGAGTGTGGTGAGTGGTTTGGGAGGTGCGGTCAATTGGGAATGGGGAAGAATCAGTGTGAAATGTAACATGGGATAAGAAGCACAAGAGAGTGTGGGAATAAGCAATTGATGGAGTGGTTGAGGCGAGCAAGAGGAGGGATGGAGCGTGGAGCGCGAGCAAGCGGGCAAGGGATAATGCTGACTTGGGGAAAGTAAATTAATGGAGCTTGTTTCAAAGCTGGTAATCAAGGGATGCTTCAAGATTAGTTATACAAAGGAATGAGATGTAGGACATAGCTTTTCAACATAAAAACCGCGTGGAATGAGTCGACTTTCTAGTCGAGTAAACTTTTATACAAGTAATACAAAATTAACGAGCTGTAGGACATTATATCTTCATTACGGTCTAATACAAGCGCTCCAGAAGTGTGCACCCACCCACCCACTCCCTCACTCACGCTCTCATTCTTTGTCATCTCCTTTTCTCCCGTTGATGATTCATCGCCACGTGGCAGTGTACGATTGGTGCTACCCAGCCATCTCGTTCTTCGACCAATGGATGCCTCTCTTCTTCGTCCCCTCCGTGGTAAGCCCCACAACCTTCCTCCACCCATCCTTACCCATCCCCCACCTCCTTCCCATCCCCCTTCTTGCAGAAACGTTTCCCTCTCCCTCACCTTATATTATTCCCCCCATCATCAGCCTCGTTGTTTGGAACGAATATTGTCCTTCTTAGCTTCCCCCATATGCTCCTTGCCCCCTCCTTCTTAGCTTCCCCCATATGCTCCTTGCCCCCTCCTTCTTAGCTTCCCCCATATGCTCCTTGCCCCCTCCTTCTTAGCTTCCCCCATATGCTCCTTGCCCCCTCCTTCTTAGCTTCCCCCATATGCTCCTTGCCCCCTCCTTCTTAGCTTCCCCCATATGCTCCTTGCCCCCTCCTTCTTAGCTTCCCCCATATGCTCCTTGCCCCCTCCTTCTTAGCTTCCCCCATATGCTCCTTGCCCCCTCCTTCTTAGCTTCCCCCATATGCTCCTTGCCCCCTCCTTCTTAGCTTCCCCCATATGCTCCTTGCCCCCTCCTTCTTAGCTTCCCCCATATGCTCCTTGCCCCCTCCTTCTTAGCTTCCCCCATATGCTCCTTGCCCCCTCCTTCTTAGCTTCCCCCATATGCTCCTTGCCCCCTCCTTCTTAGCTTCCCCCATATGCTCCTTGCCCCCTCCTTCTTAGCTTCCCCCATATGCTCCTTCCCCCCTCCTTCTTAGCTTCCCCCATATGCTCCTTGCCCCCTCCTTCTTAGCTTCCCCCATATGCTCCTTCCCCCCTCCTTCTTAGCTTCCTCTCCTGTCTCTCCTCTACCCCCCCTCAATCCCTCCAGGCATCTATCGCTCTTGCCCCTCTCCCAACGGGACTCGCCCTGACCAAGTCCATCGCCCTGGTCCTCTCCTCCTACCTCCTCACTCGCCTTCTCTATCCCCACTTGTCAACCCACCCCCCACCCCTTCCCCCCGCACAACCCCCCACAGGCATCAATCGCTCTCGCCCCTCTCCCAACCGGTCTCGCCCTGACCAAGTCCATTGCGCTCCTCCTCTCCTCCTACCTCCTCACTCTCTTCCTCTCCGCCCTCGTAGCGCGCTCTATAGGCCAGCTACTCGACTCCTGGGGCTCCTTTACTAGCAGCCTCGCGGACGGGAAGGGGAGGGGGGGGAAGCGGAAAAGGGGGCCTGCGGGGGACGGGAGCATGAGCGATGGGGAGAAGGTGGAGCGGATTGGGGACGCTGCTCGCATGTGGGGGAAGCAAGCCGCGCAGAAGGGCGCCAAGGCGCTGGCGCAGGCTGCCATGGGCGCGGGGGAGAAGGACGTACAGCAGGTGAAGGGGGGGGGGAAGGGGGAACAAGGGGAGGGGAGCATTGGAATGCACACACACACGTGCATGTGGACACACACAGATGCACACACGTGCATGTGGACACACACAGATGCACACACGTGCATGTGGACACACACAGATGCACACACGTGCATGTGGACACACACAGATGCACACACGTGCATGTGAACACACACAGATGCACACACGTGCATGTGAACACACACAGATGCACACACGTGCATGTGAACACACACAGATGCACACACGTGCATGTGAACACACACAGATGCACACACGTGCATGTGGACACACACAGATGCACACACGTGCATGTGGACACACACAGATGCACACACGTGCATGTGGACACACACAGATGCACACACGTGCATGTGGACACACACAGATGCACACACGTGCATGTGGACACACACAGATGCACACACGTGCATGTGAACACACACAGATGCACACACGTGCATGTGAACACACACAGATGCACACACGTGCATGTGAACACACACAGATGCACACACGTGCATGTGAACACACACAGATGCACACACGTGCATGTGGACACACACAGATGCACACACGTGCATGTGGACACACACAGATGCACACACGTGCATGTGGACACACACAGATGCACACACGTGCATGTGAACACACACAGATGCACACACGTGCATGTGAACACACACAGATGCACACACGTGCATGTGAACACACACAGATGCACACACGTGCATGTGAACACACACAGATGCACACACGTGCATGTGGACACACACAGATGCACACACGTGCATGTGAACACACACAGATGCACACACGTGCATGTGGACACACACAGATGCACACACGTGCATGTGGACACACACAGATGCACACACGTGCATGTGAACACACACAGATGCACACACGTGCATGTGGACACACACAGATGCACACACGTGCATGTGGACACACACAGATGCACACACGTGCATGTGGACACACACAGATGCACACACGTGCATGTGAACACACACAGATGCACACACGTGCATGTGAACACACACAGATGCACACACGTGCATGTGAACACACACAGATGCACACACGTGCATGTGAACACACACAGATGCACACACGTGCATGTGGACACACACAGATGCACACACGTGCATGTGGACACACACAGATGCACACACGTGCATGTGAACACACACAGATGCACACACGTGCATGTGAACACACACAGATGCACACACGTGCATGTGGACACACACAGATGCACACACGTGCATGTGAACACACACAGATGCACACACGTGCATGTGAACACACACAGATGCACACACGTGCATGTGAACACACACAGATGCACACACGTGCATGTGAACACACACAGATGCACACACGCGCATGTGAACACACACAGATGCACACACGTGCATGTGAACACACACAGATGCACACACGTGCATGTGAACACACACAGATGCACACAGATCGAGACGCAAACAGAGAGACGCACAGAGGGGTGGCATGAGCTACGGGGAGGGGAGAAGGTGCAGCGGATAGGGGATGCTGCGCGCATGTGGGGGAAGCAGGTCGCGCAGAAGGGCGCCAAGGCGCTGGCGCAGGCTGCCATGGGCGCGGGGGAGAAGGACGTACAGCAGGTGAGGGGGAAGGGCGGAGGGGATGGGGGGAGGGGGGGGCGTGGCGCCATAGAAATGCACATAACCACGTACAGACACACACACACACGGCAGGGGGGCGCCAAGGCGCTGACGCAGGTTGCTATGAGTACAGGGGCGTGGCGCCATAGAAATGCACATAACCACGTACAGACACACACACACACGGCAGGGGGGCGCCAAGGCGCTGACGCAGGTTGCTATGAGTACAGGGGCGTGGCGCCATAGAAATGCACATAACCACGTACAGACACACACGCACGGCAGAAGGGCGCCAAGGTGCTGACGCAGGCTGCCATGGGTGCGGGGGAGAAGGACGTGCAGCAGGTGAGGGGGGAGGATGGCTGCATGTAGTCGTACACACATGCATTCATATGAATGGGCACACACGCACGCGCGCGCGGACGCACACAGACACACACACACACACACACACACACACACACACACACACACACACGCACACGCGCGCGCGCGCACGGACGCACACATACACACACGTACATGCACACATATGAGTAATCAGAGGAAGGGGCAACGCCATTGTTCGTGCTCCTTGCCGGCCTAAGTTCACTTCCCTGCCTCCCTTTCCCCTCTTCCCTCGCTCCCTCGCTTGACCCTCCCTTCCTCCCTCTCTTCCTCCCCCTCTGCCTCCCTCCCACCCCTAGCTCGCAGTGAAAGCAGCCAAAGCGCTCGACAAAGTGGCGGACAGCATCAAAACGCCAGCCAGACAAAAGCTGCTGGCTGCAGCCTTCCCACTCTCTGTCCCTGCCCGTGCCTCTCCGATCCCTCTCGTCCCCCCCTCTCCATCTCTCAGTTGGCGGTGAAAGCCGCTAAAGCGCTCGACAAGGTAGCGGACAGCATCAAAATGCCAGTCAGACAAAAGCTGCCGCCCCTGCCCCTCTCCTCCGCCAAGTACCTCTACCTCGCTGCTGCCCTCATGCTCTCGCCCGCGCTCCTCACCCCCGTGCCCACTGCCCAAATGGTGAGTTCAACCCCTCCCTACTGATATGTGTTAGTGAGGCAGCTCAATCTGCCGCCCCTGCCCCTCTCCTCCGCCTAGTACCTCTATCTCGCTTCTGCTCTCATGCTCTCTCGCCCTCGCCCTCGCCCCTCACTCCCGTACCCACCACCCCCATCTCTCACCCATGACCCCTCCATCTCGCCCTTTTCTCCACCACACCACACCTCTCCCCCACGTTTCCCTCATCTCTCCCTCACCTCTCCCAATCCCCCCCTCCTCTCCTCCTCTCTCCCTTCCCCACTGCAGGTGGCGCCAGGCCTTCTCCTCCTCTCCATCGCCGTCTTCCAGTCCGCCAAAACGTGAGTGCAAAGCGCAGGTGCCTCGTCCCAACGGTATTGACCCTTCACCTCTCCCCTCACCCCTTCACCTCTCCCCTCACCCCTTCACCTCTCCCCTCACCCCTTCACCTCTCCCCTCACCCCTTCACCTCTCCCCTCACCCCTTCACCTCTCCCCTCACCCCTTCGCCTCTCCCCTCACCCCTTCACCTCTCCCCTCACCCCTTCACCTCTCCCCTCACCCCTTCACCTCTCCCCTCACCCCTTCACCTCTCCCCTCACCCCTTCACCTCTCCCCTCACCCCTTCACCTCTCCCCTCACCCCTTCACCTCTCCCCTCACCCCTTCACCTCTCCCCTCACCCCTTCACCTCTCCCCTCACCCCTTCGCCTCTCCCCTCACCCCTTCGCCTCTCCCCTCACCCCTTCACCTCTCCCCTCACCCCTTCACCTCTCCCCTCACCCCTTCACCTCTCCCCTCACCCCTTCACCTCTCCCCTCACCCCTTCACCTCTCCCCTCACCCCTTCGCCTCTTCCCTCACCCCTTCACCTCTCCCCTCACCCCTTCGCCTCTCCCCTTCTTCCTCCTTTCCATCGCTGTCTTCCATTCCGTCAAGACGTGAGTACGATGCGCAGGTGCCTCTTTCCCGCCACTCCCCTTCCCCCCGTTCGCCTATCCCCATTCTCCTCCTCTCAGCCTCATTGCAGCTTTCAGTCCCCCACGACGTAAGTACCACCATTTCTCCCTCCTCCCCTTCGTCCCTTCCTCACCCCGTCGCCTCTCTAACCACCCCGTCGCCTCCTGCTTGTCCCCTCTGCTTCGTCATCCCTCTTCGCCTTCCCTTCTTCCCACCTCCCTCTGCCCACTCACATCCCCGCCCTGTCCCCAGCCTGCCTGCCAACATCCGCTCACTGCTCGTCCCCACAGTGGCAGCAGGGGGAGTGATGACGTCCCTCATTGCCATGCACGGCTCTTCCACTGATCTGCTTCCTCTCCCCCCTCTCCTCTCCCCACCCCGCCACATCCCCGTTCTCCCACCCTCTCCCACCAGCCTGCCTGCCAACATCCGCTCACTGCTCGTCCCCACAGTGGCAGCAGGGGGAGTGATGACGTCCCTCATTGCCATGCACGGCTCTTCCACTGATCTGCTTCCTCTCCCCCCTCTCCTCTCCCCACCCCGCCACATCCCCGTTCTCCCACCCTCTCCCACCAGCCTGCCTGCCAACATCCGCTCACTGCTCGTCCCCACAGTGGCAGCAGGGGGAGTGATGACGTCCCTCATTGCCATGCACGGCTCTTCCACTGATCTGCTTCCTCTCCCCCCTCTCCTCTCCCCACCCCGCCACATCCCCGTTCTCCCACCCTCTCCCACCAGCCTGCCTGCCAACATCCGCTCACTGCTCGTCCCCACAGTGGCAGCAGGGGGAGTGATGACGTCCCTCATTGCCATGCACGGCTCTTCCACTGATCTGCTTCCTCTCCCCCCTCTCCTCTCCCCACCCCGCCACATCCCCGTTCTCCCACCCTCTCCCACCAGCCTGCCTGCCAACATCCGCTCACTGCTCGTCCCCACAGTGGCAGCAGGGGGAGTGATGACGTCCCTCATTGCCATGCACGGCTCTTCCACTGATCTGCTTCCTCTCCCCCCTCTCCTCTCCCCACCCCGCCACATCCCCGTTCTCCCACCCTCTCCCACCAGCCTGCCTGCCAACATCCGCTCACTGCTCGTCCCCACAGTGGCAGCAGGGGGAGTGATGACGTCCCTCATTGCCATGCACGGCTCTTCCACTGATCTGCTTCCTCTCCCCCCTCTCCTCTCCCCACCCCGCCACATCCCCGTTCTCCCACCCTCTCCCACCAGCCTGCCTGCCAACATCCGCTCACTGCTCGTCCCCACAGTGGCAGCAGGGGGAGTGATGACGTCCCTCATTGCCATGCACGGCTCTTCCACTGATCTGCTTCCTCTCCCCCCTCTCCTCTCCCCACCCCGCCACATCCCCGTTCTCCCACCCTCTCCCACCAGCCTGCCTGCCAACATCCGCTCACTGCTCGTCCCCACAGTGGCAGCAGGGGGAGTGATGACGTCCCTCATTGCCATGCACGGCTCTTCCACTGATCTGCTTCCTCTCCCCCCTCTCCTCTCCCCACCCCGCCACATCCCCGTTCTCCCACCCTCTCCCACCAGCCTGCCTGCCAACATCCGCTCACTGCTCGTCCCCACAGTGGCAGCAGGGGGAGTGATGACGTCCCTCATTGCCATGCACGGCTCTTCCACTGATCTGCTTCCTCTCCCCCCTCTCCTCTCCCCACCCCGCCACATCCCCGTTCTCCCACCCTCTCCCACCAGCCTGCCTGCCAACATCCGCTCACTGCTCGTCCCCACAGTGGCAGCAGGGGGAGTGATGACGTCCCTCATTGCCATGCACGGCTCTTCCACTGATCTGCTTCCTCTCCCCCCTCTCCTCTCCCCACCCCGCCACATCCCCGTTCTCCCACCCTCTCCCACCAGCCTGCCTGCCAACATCCGCTCACTGCTCGTCCCCACAGTGGCAGCAGGGGGAGTGATGACGTCCCTCATTGCCATGCACGGCTCTTCCACTGATCTGCTTCCTCTCCCCCCTCTCCTCTCCCCACCCCGCCACATCCCCGTTCTCCCACCCTCTCCCACCAGCCTGCCTGCCAACATCCGCTCACTGCTCGTCCCCACAGTGGCAGCAGGGGGAGTGATGACGTCCCTCATTGCCATGCACGGCTCTTCCACTGATCTGCTTCCTCTCCCCCCTCTCCTCTCCCCACCCCGCCACATCCCCGTTCTCCCACCCTCTCCCACCAGCCTGCCTGCCAACATCCGCTCACTGCTCGTCCCCACAGTGGCAGCAGGGGGAGTGATGACGTCCCTCATTGCCATGCACGGCTCTTCCACTGATCTGCTTCCTCTCCCCCCTCTCCTCTCCCCACCCCGCCACATCCCCGTTCTCCCACCCTCTCCCACCAGCCTGCCTGCCAACATCCGCTCACTGCTCGTCCCCACAGTGGCAGCAGGGGGAGTGATGACGTCCCTCATTGCCATGCACGGCTCTTCCACTGATCTGCTTCCTCTCCCCCCTCTCCTCTCCCCACCCCGCCACATCCCCGTTCTCCCACCCTCTCCCACCAGCCTGCCTGCCAACATCCGCTCACTGCTCGTCCCCACAGTGGCAGCAGGGGGAGTGATGACGTCCCTCATTGCCATGCACGGCTCTTCCACTGATCTGCTTCCTCTCCCCCCTCTCCTCTCCCCACCCCGCCACATCCCCGTTCTCCCACCCTCTCCCACCAGCCTGCCTGCCAACATCCGCTCACTGCTCGTCCCCACAGTGGCAGCAGGGGGAGTGATGACGTCCCTCATTGCCATGCACGGCTCTTCCACTGATCTGCTTCCTCTCCCCCCTCTCCTCTCCCCACCCCGCCACATCCCCGTTCTCCCACCCTCTCCCACCAGCCTGCCTGCCAACATCCGCTCACTGCTCGTCCCCACAGTGGCAGCAGGGGGAGTGATGACGTCCCTCATTGCCATGCACGGCTCTTCCACTGATCTGCTTCCTCTCCCCCCTCTCCTCTCCCCACCCCGCCACATCCCCGTTCTCCCACCCTCTCCCACCAGCCTGCCTGCCAACATCCGCTCACTGCTCGTCCCCACAGTGGCAGCAGGGGGAGTGATGACGTCCCTCATTGCCATGCACGGCTCTTCCACTGATCTGCTTCCTCTCCCCCCTCTCCTCTCCCCACCCCGCCACATCCCCGTTCTCCCACCCTCTCCCACCAGCCTGCCTGCCAACATCCGCTCACTGCTCGTCCCCACAGTGGCAGCAGGGGGAGTGATGACGTCCCTCATTGCCATGCACGGCTCTTCCACTGATCTGCTTCCTCTCCCCCCTCTCCTCTCCCCACCCCGCCACATCCCCGTTCTCCCACCCTCTCCCACCAGCCTGCCTGCCAACATCCGCTCACTGCTCGTCCCCACAGTGGCAGCAGGGGGAGTGATGACGTCCCTCATTGCCATGCACGGCTCTTCCACTGATCTGCTTCCTCTCCCCCCTCTCCTCTCCCCACCCCGCCACATCCCCGTTCTCCCACCCTCTCCCACCAGCCTGCCTGCCAACATCCGCTCACTGCTCGTCCCCACAGTGGCAGCAGGGGGAGTGATGACGTCCCTCATTGCCATGCACGGCTCTTCCACTGATCTGCTTCCTCTCCCCCCTCTCCTCTCCCCACCCCGCCACATCCCCGTTCTCCCACCCTCTCCCACCAGCCTGCCTGCCAACATCCGCTCACTGCTCGTCCCCACAGTGGCAGCAGGGGGAGTGATGACGTCCCTCATTGCCATGCACGGCTCTTCCACTGATCTGCTTCCTCTCCCCCCTCTCCTCTCCCCACCCCGCCACATCCCCGTTCTCCCACCCTCTCCCACCAGCCTGCCTGCCAACATCCGCTCACTGCTCGTCCCCACAGTGGCAGCAGGGGGAGTGATGACGTCCCTCATTGCCATGCACGGCTCTTCCACTGATCTGCTTCCTCTCCCCCCTCTCCTCTCCCCACCCCGCCACATCCCCGTTCTCCCACCCTCTCCCACCAGCCTGCCTGCCAACATCCGCTCACTGCTCGTCCCCACAGTGGCAGCAGGGGGAGTGATGACGTCCCTCATTGCCATGCACGGCTCTTCCACTGATCTGCTTCCTCTCCCCCCTCTCCTCTCCCCACCCCGCCACATCCCCGTTCTCCCACCCTCTCCCACCAGCCTGCCTGCCAACGTGCGTTCTCTCCTAGTCCCCACCGTGGCAGCAGGGGGAGTGATGACGTCGCTGATGGCCATGTATGGCTCATACGCTCTCAACAACTGGCAGGCCGGCATCCGCCTCTACTCCCAAGGGGCAGGTGAGGCATAAGACATGGGGGCATGGGGCGCAGGTGGGGCGTAGGGCATGGGCGTGGGTGGGGCATGGGCGTGGGTGAATGGGATATGAGATATGTCATTATCTGGGAAATGGGAAGGGAGGGGAGGTGAGAGATGGGAAAAGAGGGGGGAGTGGGGGAGGGTATGCGCAGGTACGGTGCTTCCTTTGGGCGGTCCCTCACTCTCCCTCACTCCCTCACTCCCTCACTCCCTCACTCCTTCACTCCCTCACTCCCTCGCTCAATCGCTCCCTAAGTCCCGCACTCCCTAAGTCCCGCACTCCCTAAGTCCCGCAATCCCTCAGTTCGTCCTGACGTGCAGGTACACCTCCCAGCCCCCCCTCTGTATCAGCTTCTGTCGGTGCTCTATTAGAGATTTTTTTAAAAGGATCCTCTCCTTCGGCTGGCTTCTTCCTCATTCGCTCCCTCTTTGCCTTGCCTCCTCTCGTTCCCTTGTGCCCTTCCTTCTCCCGCGCCTCCTCCCCTCCCCCCCACCCCTCGACCTTACATCTCCCTCTCGTCTCCAGGTGCATTTCTCGTGGCTCTGATCGGGCCTGCAGTGGGGGCGTTGGGCTTTAAGGTGCGTAGGAGAGTGCACACTCATTCCGCTGCACTTTTGTCGCGGTGTACTTTCAGTCAGATTAGATTGGCTTCTAAGGTGAGGACAGATTGGCTTCTAAGGTGAGGACAGACAGTGTACTCAATTGGTATGACTTTTGAGAATTCTCAAGAGGACAGACAGTGTACTCAATTGGTATGACTTTTGAGAATTCTCAAGAGTACAGACAGTGCACTCAATTGGTATGACTTTTGAGAATTCTCAAGAGTACAGACAGTGCACTCAATTGGTATGACTTTTGAGAATTCTCAAGAGGACAGACAGTGTACTCAATTGGTATGACTTTTGAGAATTCTCAAGAGGACAGACAGTGTACTCAATTGGTATGACTTTTGAGAATTCTCAAGAGTACAGACAGTGCACTCAATTGGTATGACTTTTGAGAATTCTCAAGAGTACAGACAGTGCACTCAATTGGTATGACTTTTGAGAATTCTCAAGAGTACAGACAGTGTACTCAATTGGTATGACTTTTGAGAATTCTCAAGAGGACAGACAGTGTACTCAATTGGTATGACTTTTGAGAATTCTCAAGAGTACAGACAGTGCACTCAATTGGTATGACTTTTGAGAATTCTCAAGAGTACAGACAGTGTACTCAATTGGTATGACTTTTGAGAATTCTCAAGAGGACAGACAGTGTACTCAATTGGCATGACTTTTGAGAATTCTCAAGAGGACAGACAGTGTACTCAATTGGTATGACTTTTGAGAATTCTCAAGAGGACAGACAGTGTACTCAATTGGTATGACTTTTGAGAATTCTCAAGAGTACAGACAGTGCACTCAATTGGTATGACTTTTGAGAATTCTCAAGAGTACAGACAGTGTACTCAATTGGTATGACTTTTGAGAATTCTCAAGAGTACAGACAGTGTACTCAATTTGTTGCGCCCTTATTAAGGTGCGCGCTGCTGGTTGGCTATCGGAATGAGCGCAGGCGGGGCTTTAAGATTGGGGATTCTACCATCAGGGCTTGACCTTCCTCTTTGCGCCTATCCTCGAGTTACTTTTGAGAATTCTCAAAAGCCATCAGGGCTTCACCTTACTCTTTGCGCCTATCCTCGAGTTACTTTTGAGAATTCTCAAAAGCCATCAGGGCTTGACCTTACTCTTTGCGCCTAACCTCTTCCTTTCTATGTGCTCCCTTGACTACTCTCCCCTTCCCTTGTCCTCACAAGTATCACAGAAAAGTTGCAGCTCCCTTCCTACCTTTCCTCCTTCTCCACCACTCTCTTCGCCTGTCCTCACAGGTATTCACGGAGAAGTCGCTGCTCAAGAGATGCCCGCTTGACCTTTCTCTCTTTCCTCCTTTCCCTCGTCCTTCCTATCCTCCTCCTCCGTTTCCCCCCCCCCCCTTCCACCCACCACCCCCCCCTTTCCCACACCATGCTCACAGGTATTCACAGAGAAGTCACTGCTCAAGAGATACGCGCTTGACATTGCTGCCACGTGTGCAATCATGGTGCCAATGTGAGTGTGCCACGTCATCATGCCAGTATATGTGCGACACGTCATGGTGTCAGTGCGAGTGTGCTCTATTTGACATGTTTTCTCAGGGTGTGATTTTTGTTTTCTCAGGGTGTGATTTTTGTTTCAGGGTTTTGCAAAACAGAATCTTGGTTGGCACGTTGTGCAAACATCCCCTCGTCCCCGTCCCACATTTTTTCCCTTTCTCCCCCCTGCTTCTCCTCTCCCCACCCGTCACAGTCAGTTCATGGTGACAGCGCTGCTAGGGAGGCTACTCATGGCGCCCCCCATCGTCATCAACTCGCTCATCCCCTCACACGTGCGTCCCGTGCCGTGCCGTGCCGTGCCGTGCCGTGCCGTGCCGTGCCGTGTCGTGCCGTCCCGTGCCGTGCCGTGCCGTGTCGTGCCGTGCCGTGCCGTGCCGTGCCGTGCCGTGCCGTGCCATGCCGTGCCGGCGTGCTCACACATGCATGTGTGTGTCTGTTGTGTTACCCCTGTGCCATCGACCCCCTGTATCATGGCGCCCCCCATCGTCATCAACTCGCTCATCCCCTCACACGTGCGTCCCGTGCCGTGCCGTGCCGTGCGCTCCTGTCGTTCCTGCATGTGTGCTCTCACACATGCATTCATGTGTGCGTTGTGTACCCGTTGTGTACCCGTTGGTCATGACGCCTAGAATCGGCCTCGAAATGCTTATAACCTCTCCTCTTCACCAGCACACAGTTCTTGCTGCTTCACAGGATGAAGCCTGCATGCTTGAGACTCACCTTGCTTCCTCTTTTTTCTCCTTTCTTCCGTTTTTCCTCGCGCTTTCCCTCCCACCTTTCAGACCACCCTGGGTCTAGCCATTGAAATGGTGCCACTTCTCTCTGCCAGCACAAGTGGAAAGTTGACTTGAGTCGACTCAAAAGTCAGCCCATCGAGATGGTGCCACTTCTCTCTGCCAGCACAAGTGGAAAGTTAAACCATCAATTGCTGCGCTGGGTCTTCCTAACGCGCTCCCCTCTACGCTCTCTTCTCTCCCCCACCTTCCCACCAGACCACCCTCGGTCTAGCCATCGAGATGGTGCCGCTGCTCTCTGCCAGCGCACAGGCCTCGTGGTGGCTGCTTGGATCATGCCTCACTGCCTCTTCCCATCCCACCCCGCTTGGCCCCTTCTTTCCGTTTTCCCCTTCTCCAATCTCCCCCTCCTCCAGACCACTCTCGGTCTAGCCATCGAGATGGTGCCGCTGCTCTCTGCCAGCACAGGCCTCGTGGTGGCGGGTGTGACTATAGCAGGCACCACCGGTATTAGCACGGCCAGAACCCTCCTCGATCAGTGGAAGGTACAAATGGGGGAGGGGAAGGGGAGAAAGGGGGTGGAGAGGGGGGGTGGGGGAGGTGGTATTTGGGATACAGGGTGGGTGTGACTATAGCAGGCACCACTGATATTGGCCACCACCGATATTAGCATGTCCTTGATCAGTAGAATGGATGAAGGTACGATCGAATGGTGGTTGAGAGGACTGAGGGGGTGGTTGTTTGGTTTACAGTGGGTAATGCAAAGGGGTGACTATAGCAGGGACCACCATTATAAGCACAGGGTGGAGGTATAAGCACAGGGTAGAGATATTAGCACAGGGTGGAGGTATCAGCACAGGGTGGAGGTATCAGCACAGGGTGGAGGTGAATACAATGGGTTCCGGAAGGGGTACGTGCGTGCGCATGCGTGGGTGCGTGCTTGTGTGCATGTGTGTGTGCGTCTGTGTGTGTGTGTGTGTGTGTGCGTGTGTGTGTGTGTGTGCGTGCGTGTGTGCGTGTGCATGTGTGCGTGCGTGCATGTGTGTGTGCGTGCGTGCGTGCATGCGTGTGTGCGTGCGTGTGTGTGTGTGTGTGCGTGTGTGTGTGTGTGTGCGTGCGTGCGTGTGTGTATTTGCATGTTTAACGATTCCCCTGCCCCTCACTCTTCCGCTCCTTCTTCCCTTCCCTCCCGTCCCTCCAACACCGTCCTCTCCCCAGCACACACATGCAGCACTTACTTTCTCCTCCCATCATTCACAGGGACTTGGCAGTGGGCATAGCCTCAAACTGCGCATAACCTCAAACAGGGCATAGCCTCAAACTGCGCATAACCTCAAACAGGGCATAGCCTCAAACTGGGCAAAGCCTCAAAGGGCATAGCCTCAAAGGGAATAGCCTCAAAGGGCATAGCCTCAAAGGGCATAGCCTCAAAGGGCATAGCCTCAAAGGGCATAGCCTCAAAGGGCATAGCCTCAAAGGGCATAGCCTCAAAGGGCATAGCCTCAAAGGGCATAGCCTCAAAGGGCATAGCCTCAAAGGGCATAGCCTCAAAGGGCATAGCCTCAAAGGGCATAGCCTCAAAGGGCATAGCCTCAAAGGGCATAGCCTCAAAGGGCATAGCCTCAAAGGGCATAGCCTCAAAGGGCATAGCCTCAAAGGGCATAGCCTCAAAGGGCATAGCCTCAAAGGGCATAGCCTCAAAGGGCATAGCCTCAAAGGGCATAGCCTCAAAGGGCATAGCCTCAAAGGGCATAGCCTCAAAGGGCATAGCCTCAAAGGGCATAGCCTCAAAGGGCATAGCCTCAAAGGGCATAGCCTCAAGCTCCCTCTTCTCCTCCCTCGTTCCCTCCCTTTTCCCCACACCCATCAGGTGCGGGACGCTATTCACAGGGGTCTGGCAGTCGGCATTGCCTCGCACTCCCTCGGCACCTCTGCTCTGGTACGCCTCTTCTCTTCTCGTATAGCGTAACTAGGAGCAGCAACTAGGTGCAACAGCTCCAAATCGGCGGCTCGAAAAACGTTCACAGCAACTAGGAGCAGCACTCCCTCCGGTATGAAGAAGTGTTTTGAGGCGCACTCCCTCGGCACCTCAAAGCACTTCTTCATGCACTAGGAGCAGCACTTCTTCATACACTAGGAGCAGCACTCCCTCGGCACCTCTGCTCTGGTAGGCATCTCAAAAGCCATACCCACCCACCTGACTGTTGTTCTGCTCTGCTCTGGTATGTGGCCTCACAGACTTAACTACCTGACTGCTTCGCATGCGCCTTGTTCCTCTCATGGTCTTCGTGTTTTGAGACGTCTCAAAACGCGCCTTGTTCCTCTCATGGTCTTCGTGTTTTGAGACGTCTCAAAACGCGCCTTGTTCCTCTCATGGTCTTCGTGTTTTGAGACGTCTCAAAACGCGCCTTGTTCCTCTCATGGTCTTCGTGTTTTGAGACGTCTCAAAACGCGCCTTGTTCCTCTCATGGTCTTCATGGCACGAAGTCGGTCAGCAGCAGCCAAGTTTTGACTTGTCCAAAAGCATTGGCCGCCCGCCTTTGGCGTGTCTAAATGTATTCGTTACCCGGTTTCACGTCCTCTAAAAGCAGTCAATATTGTTTATTGCCTGATGTTCGCCCATTTCCCTTGGTGCCATTTCTCCTGTTTCAGGTTGCAGAGGAGCCTCGCTCTGCTGCGGGTAAGACGGGTGCAGGTGTTGACTGGTGCAGTAGTAGTGGGGCAGGTGTGCAGGTGTTGTCTGGCGCAGGTGTTGTCTGGCGCAGGTGTTGTCTGGCGCAGGTGTTGTCTGGCGCAGGTGTTGACTGGTGCAGGTATGAATTTTGCAGGTATGTAGTAGACATATGAGTCGACTCAAAAGTCACCTCTGTAGTGGACATAACAACCTCACTGCCCAGGGTAACCACGTGATAAAAGTGAAATTTTGAGACGTCTCAAAAAATCACTTTTATTACGTGCCTACCAGTCTCACAAACCATAGCAGGTAAGTTACAAAAATGCAACTGTTTCCGTAGTGAGTTGCTATCCAGTGTCAGGTCTTTGCTATCGATGGCATGCGCTACGTTCTCCTCATCATCACCATCCCCATGTCCTTTTGAGTCGACTCAAAAGTCACCTCATTTGCACTACTCTTTACCCATCTTCCTCTGTATCCCTCCCTTCTCCCCCCATCCCCCTTCACCATCCAGTGTCAGGCCTGGCCTTTGCTCTCAGGGGCACACTCAGTGTTATCCTCATCTCCATCCCGGCATTTTCTCTCTTCTCTCTCATGATGCTGTCCGTAATCCCTGACTTCTCTGCCCTTTCCCTTCCCTCTCCCCATCGCCCTCTGTACCCATCTCCCCTCCCCCCATGCAGTGTCAGGCCTGGCATTTGCTCTCAAGGGCACACTCAGTGTTATCCTCATCTCTATTCCTGCCTTTCGGATTGCTCTGCTTCAATTGGCTGGCACTGCCTAATTGCATTCGTACAGTGCCATCTCATTATTCAGTTATGTTTTGTATGTGTAGATCCAAATGACATTTATTTAAAGCCCGGGTACAGCATGGTATTTTTCAAGTTCAAGATTCTTGAACTTGAAGTCGCAAAAAACAGGGTAACCCTCTCTGGTTTGAAAAACAACTCGCGACTCAGGGAAAACCTATTGCGACCCTCACTCCTGATTGGTTTCCGTGCCCAGTCGCACAACACCTCCGACCATCGCCCACAATATTGCCGTGAGCACACCTCACATATCTTGAAGACCAAGTAGTACTAGTCTGCTAGAATAGGGACAGTACTAGGAAACGCGCGGCAGGGCGATAGAAGCTAGCTCAAGTAAAGGCGACTTTCTCCTTGCAACACGAGTCACTCACGCTGTCTGACCAATCGCTGACCAGCACAACTTCAAGCCATGCGCTCACCGTACCTCCTTCGCATGCCAGGGACGCTACCCGTGCTAGCGCACGACACGAGCAATGCTCGTAAATGGCATGAGTTGCCACACTCAAGGGATTTAGTATGACGAGAGCGCGTTACCCTCGTGAGACTGGCGGAAAAGCGACACCCGCACTTCTTCTCGTCGCCCACACTTGCTCGGGTCACGATATCTCCCACTCGTCTCTCTCGCTTTCCTTCGTCGCCCGCGATTCCCACCGTCCCGCGCTTCTCCTCGTCGCCCGCGCGCGCACCCTGAACCGTCGCCCTCGCGCGCTTCTGCTCGTCGCCCGCGCGCGCTTTTCCTCGTCGCCCGCGCGCGCTTTTTCTCGTCGCCCGCGCGCGCTTCTCTTCCTCGCCCGCGCGCGCTTCTCCTCGTCGCCCGCGCGCGCTTCTTCTCGTCGCCCCCGCCTCTTCATTTCGCCCAAGCTTCCTCCCTCCATCCCTCCTTCTCCCCTCTCTTCCTCTCCCTCCGTCCCTCCCTACCTTGCTCTCGACCTTCATTCCTCTGTCCCTCTCTCCCTCTCCCTCTCTTCCCTTTCTCTCTCTCTTGCCTTTCTCTCTCTCTTCCCTCTCTCCCTCCCTTTTTCGCTAAGGACAGAGGGGGAGAGACACGGGGGGAAGGACACAGGTGGAGAGACAGAGGGTGAAGGGCAGACGGGGAGAGACAGAAGGGGAAGGACGGAGGGGGAGGAACAGAGGGGGAGGGGCAGAGAGTGAGAGACAGAAGGTGAAGGGCAGAGGTGGAGAGACAGCAGGGGAAGGACGGAGGGGGGGGAACAGGGGGGGGGGTGTCCCAGAGAGTGAGAGACAGAGGGTGAGAGCGGGTACTCCCCTCACTCCCTCTCCCTGTCGATCTCACTTCCCCCTAATTGTTTACACCCCTTTTTTTTATTACCAACCTCCCTCACTCCCACCAGCTCCGTTTACCCCCCAATATATTCTCCTTTGCCTCACCTGCTTCCCCCCATCCCCTTCCCTGCTTCCCCCCATCCCCATCCCTGCTTCCCCCCATCCCCTTCCCTGCTTCTCCCCATCCCCTTCCCTGCTTCCCCCCATCCCCATCCCTGCTTCCCCCCATCCCCTTCCCTGCTTCTCCCCATCCCCTTCCCTGCTTCCCCCCATCCCCTGCTTCTCCCCATCCCCTTCCCTGCTTCCCCCCATCCCCTTCCCTGTTTCCCCCCATCCCCATCCCTGCTTCCCCCCATCCCCTTCCCTGCTTCTCCCCATCCCCTTCCCTGCTTCCCCCCATCCCCTGCTTCTCCCCATCCCCTTCCCTGCTTCCCCCCATCCCCTTCCCTGCTTCCCCCCATCCCGCTCCCTGCTTCTCCCCATCCCCTTCCCTGCTTCCCCCCATCCCCTTCCCTGCTTCTCCCCATCCCCTTCCCTGCTTCCCCCCATCCCCTTCCCTGCTTCCCCCCATCCCGCTCCCTGCTTCCCCCCATCCCGCTCCCTGCTTCCCCCCATCCCGCTCCCTGCTTCCCCCCATCCCCTTCCCTGCTTCCCCCCATCCCCTTCCCTTCTCTACACGGTGCATAGCAACACGCACGCGCATGCAGAAGTTCTTCGATGACTGGATCCCTTGGCACAAGTGATGAGCGTCACTCTCTCCCCACTCCCTCCCCCTCTGCTTCCCCTCTTCCTCGTGGCAGGCCACCGAAGCACCGCATCCAGCAGATCTTCGAGTGAATCTGCCCTGAGGCTTGCTGGCGGAGTTGTGAGGCAGCCTCCTCCCGAAACTGCCTTCAGCCTCCCCTGCTGCCCAGCAGGATGCCGCGGAGCATTGATGCGGGAGGGGGCAGACCATGCTGGCAGAAACTGATGGCGGCAGCGCACGTCAGGTCTGCGCTGCTGTGGGCCGGGGGACTGCAGAGTGTTGCAGGGACCAGCACGGCATGTCGATATGTGGCCGGCCGAGATCCTTATGAGTTGAGGGATCTGAGCTTGAGAGAGTGCGTTTCCGAAATGTATTGGTAATGCGTTTATTGATGTTTCATTTTTTTTATTCACAATTTGCTTGCAATGCTTTTCTGCACCTATTCAGCATTTGAAATTTTGTGTTTTTCTGAAATGAAGTCTCAAAAGCATCCAGACATTTTAGTAAATTAGAAATTGTAAAAATAGTGTTCAGTGTACTGCCTTACTCTCACTCGCGTGAGTTTCGCGTTGCCCACCATTTCAACCCCAAGAGAAGCGCCAGCAGCAGTGGTGGGGCTGGAGCAGCGCTGTTATGAATGAACTTGCAGAGTGCGCAGAATATCGAATATCGAGAATGAACTCAAAGAACTGACGATACAATGAAAGTGACGAGGCCTAAATAGGGGAAAAGCTAGCTAGGCGGGGGGTTCGGGATGAGATGGCTCGGTGATGGTTGCGATTGGAGCGGAGGCCGACTCGGGAGTGGTTCGGTGCGACGAAATAGGAAGGACAGGTTCGTCGCGTGACCCTCGGGATGGCCTCGCTAACGAGTGCCTCAGTAAGGATTTGTAAATCCTTACAAGCGCTCTGTCACACACAGAGTCGTTCGGCCCTCCCATATCCTTGGAAACAGCCGTTTATAGTATCGTGGCGAAGGTTGTTTTACCCGCCTCCTGAATTCGCTTTCGTCCCACACACATTTTCGAAATACACGATATTATTATTTTCGCCAGACTGTTTCAACCCCACATAACTTGAAAATTTACCATGCTGACCTCGGGCTTTAAGCTGATGAGTACAGCAGTACAAGCAGCAATGTAGGCACAATAAACTCACATCAATGTCTTGTTTGTTTTTGTACGTCCCTCTAATGTTCCACCATCCACACCTAACCGGCGTCCCCCCAATACAGCTGATATGTTTAACCAAAAGGTGTTTTTCTTCAACAACAGGTACAAAGCCGCATCGAGGCAACTAAAACATGTTGAATAAGAGCAATACTATGCAAAAGAAATCAATGAACAAGTCATAAAACAGTACCGTATGCAAATGCCATCACGCGGTTTAAGGCAGTGCCGTCCTTGTAAGGAGGATGTGCACCTCCTCATCACCTCCTCCTATCACTTCTGCACCAGCAGCACCTGCTCTTGCTACTCCTTATGTGCTGATGTTTCTGCGGCAACACCAGCAGCAGCAGCAACACCAGCAGCAGCAGCTGGTACGGCTGTAGCAGCGGCGGGTTCTATAGCAGGTGGAGTAGAAGGGACGGTTGTAGCAGTAGCAGGTACTGTCGCAGGCAGAGCGCAAGGGAGAGCAGTAACAGCAGGAGTTGCAGCTGTAGCAGGGCTAGGAGCAATGGCTGTGGCAGGATTAGGAGGAGGTAAGGATGTAGCAGGACTGGCAGGGGCCACGACTGTAGAGTGCTGAGAAGGATGGCTGGCAGGAGTTGGGATCCTGGCAGCAGAAAGAGCTCCTTTAACCGCAGGAGCTGCTGTTGGCCTCGTTACAGTGGCAGTGGCACCACCTGCTACAGTCACAGTTGTAGCACCGGCTACAGCAGCACCTGCAGTGGCTACACTTGTAGCACCACCTGTTACACCCGCAGCATTGGCCACAGTTGCATTGGTCGCGGTGGTAGCACCAGGTAGGGTTGGTGCTGCACCTGCCGTCGTTGTCACATGCGCTACAGGCGCAAATTGACCATGTCTCCGCGACTTTTGAGGCGCCTCAAAAGTCGCAGCACCTGGCGTCGTTGTCACATGCGCTACAGGTGTAAATGGTACATGTCTCGGCGCCACCCTTGGCGGACTTCGCAACATCAAGGGTAATTTACCCCCGTTTTGAGCCGCCTCTGTACCAGGGCTCGCCCTGGGCGGACTCACCAATAATCTGGGTGATTTACCCATCGGTGATGTGCTGGGTGGGCTCCTAGCACCGGAAAGTGCACTGGGGGTGGGATCAATGGGAATGCTAGCACTCAGCTTGGGACTGGGAACAAGGGGAATGCTACTAGCAGTGAGCCTGGGGCTGGGCACTCGAGGCAGCCTGAGAAGGTTGGGGATCCTGCTGGGGCTGACAACA